TCTTCCTCATGTCCAACACCAACTCTCCCTTAAACTTAACTCCACAAATTATCTTTTATGGCTCACCCAAATTACCCCCATTCACCAAGGATACGGGGTCATGAACCATGTTGACGGCTTTGTAATCCCCCCACTTGCTCAAATAGATGGAGCCCCTACCCACACTATCGAATTGGTTTGCTACGGATCAACTAGTACTCGACTCGGATAATTACCTCCCTATCTCGAAGGTGTTCTATCACAAGTGTTTGGAGTAACAATTGCTAGAGAGGCATGGTAGAAACTCACCTCCACTTATGCCTCCGGCTCTCGTGCTCAAGTTTGACAATTGAAATCCCTCCTTCATCAATTAGAATGTAAGAATGATGATATCACAACTTACATGCAGCGTGTAAAACACATCTCCGATCGGCTTGTAGCCCTTCAACATCCAATCTCGGAGGATGACCTTGTTGATGCTATTTTGGATGGTCTTGGTGCGGATTATAGACCATTCACACGCAATATTGAAGCTCGCCTACGATCGGTGACTTTTGATGACTTATTCGGCTTACTACTCGGTGAAGAAATCCAACTAAAAAGAGAGAAAGATGTTTCCCACGCATCCGAAATTTTGCCCATTGCCCATTACACACACCGCCAGCCTCTCGCCTCTCGTGGTCGAGGACGCCGGAGGGGCCGTGGCCGCTCTTATAACCAGCTAAACACATACCAATCCTCCGGTTCACCCCGGCGGTCTCCTACGCCATCACCCACCATGGTACCAACTTGCTACAATTGCCGTGGGATTGGGCATCTCGGCTCGGCTTGCCCTCTCCCAAATACACAAATACAACTCGACCACCTTTGCTGTCCACACCCACATCTCATCTTGCACCACCCAAACCAGCCTTAAATGGGTTCTTGATAGTGGAGCTACGCATCATCTCACGGCGGATCTTGACAACCTAGCAATTCACTCGAATACTTGAGACCCGAAGAAGTCACAATAAGCAATGGTAATACCCTCCTTGTTTCTCACATTGGGTCGTCCTCCTTATCTCGTGCATGATCATTCTTATACACTTAATCATATTCTTCATGTGCCTCATTCCCGTCAAAATTTGCTATCCGTCTTTTCTTTTAGTCAAACTAACAATGTCTCCTTGGAATTTTTTCCCGATTATTTTTTGATTAAGGATATCCACAAGAAGAAAATCCTCCACAAAAGGACCTCCGGACAATGGCCTTTACACCATACCAATTAAGTCTTCCACTTCATCCTCTCTTGCTCAAGCTCACTCATGCAGTTCGATCACGTGGCACGCTCGTCTCGATCATGCATCAATGCATACCTGTAACAAAAGTTTTGAGTCGATCTAATATTTATGTTTCCCAAATTCATAAACAAACTTTGTGTCATGGTTGCTACATTAGCAAAGCACATAAACTTCCATTTTTTATTTCAAGTTCTCGAGCACGAGCTCCGTTAGAAATAATATGTTTTGATTTATGGGGACCTTCTCCAATTTCATCTCTTCAAGGTCACAAATATTACCTCTTATTTTATGATCATTACGAGTAAATATAGTTGGATCTATGTTCTCAAACATAAATTTGAAGTCCTTAATTGTTTCCAAAAATTTCAACAATTAGTCGAAAGATTTTTCAATAAGTCCATCCAAAATTTTCGAGCCGACTGGAGGGGTGAATTTCAAAGCCTTACATCTCACTTAGCTACATCCGGCATTGTTCAGCATTCTTCATGTCCTTACACACTAGAACAAAATGGTTGTGCTGAGCGCAAACATAGACACATCACTAAAGCTGGTAGAGCCTTACTTTATCATGCATCGGTACCTTTACACTTTTAGGATCATGCTTTTTCCACTCGCTTGTCTATTGTGTCAACCGTCTCCCAACACCATTACTTGATCATAAATCTCCTCATGAAACTCTCTTGTAGGAAATTCCGGATTATGAATATCTACGTGTTTTTGGTTGTCTTTGCTATCCTTGGCTACGCCCATATGCCAAAAATAAATTACAACCTCGCTCGGTTCGCTATGTCTTCCTTGGCTATAGCAACTTGCATAAAGGGTATAAGTGCTTAGACATTAGATCCAATAAAATTTATATCTCACGACATGTTATCTTCGATGAACAGGTCTTTCCATTCAAGGATGCCGGTGAAGGTGCTCACTCCACTATCAAAAATTCAACCTCCACATCCACTCTCCCAATATTGCTTCCAGCTCCACCAACCCCTACAAACATTTCCCTCCAAATTCCCTCACAAATCAGCTTCCTTGCATCCGCCTCGACCACTTCAACATAAAAACCCACCAAAGTCCCTACTAAATCAGCCCAACCCGCAAAAATAAGAGCCCCAAATCTCTCCCGCCATCAAACTCCAAGACTCGTCCAAGCTACTCCCACAGATCCAGCCCGCTCATAATGACCGGTCGGTGATACATGTGCGAGCTTACAAACACCGACCCGCCTTTGATAAGCGTTTAACCCCCTCATACCGACTAGCCCACCAACACACTAGTGCCCCATAACCCCTCCAAACAACCCCCTATTGCACCAGCAAGTCCTCCACGATGCGACATACTCATAAACTAGCCGTACCCCCTTCGGATCTAGCCACCTCGCAACCTCACCCATAACCCCCTCTCACCCCATGATAACTCGCACCAAAACAGGAAAAACTAAACCAAAAGTCTTCCACGACTCAATTCCACCTACCGAACCCACCTTTTTTACCATGGCCAACACCCAACCTCAATGGAGGCAAGTTATGCGTGAAGAAATTGATGCACTTCTCACCAATGGCACTTGGGACTTGGTACCTCGCTCTCAAGCTCCCAACATCATCGGTTGTAAATGGGTGTATCGGATCAAACGACTCCTCGATCGCTCCGTTGATTGGTACAAAGCTCGTTTGGTAGCCAAAGGATTCCATCAATGCTCCGGTCTAGACTATGCCGACACCTTCGGTCTCGTGGTAAAACCAAGCACAATCCATCTCATCTTGTCATTGGCGATGAACCGATGATCGGCATATTGAGCAACTAGACATTTCTAATGCCTTCTTACATGATAAGTTGGATACTCCGATTTCTATGGAACAGTCCGCAAGGATTCATTCACCCTCGGCATCCAGATTTTATGTGTGCTCTAAAAAGGTCTCTTTATGGCCTTAAACAAGCCCCTAGGATGTGGTATATAAGTTTGAGTTCAGCACTCTATAGTATGGGTTTTGTTGGTTCCAAATCGACACATCCTTGATGATATACAATCATAGCTCGGACATCATCTACTCGTCTTATTTATGTAGATGATCTATTACTCACTCGGAAATAATCCCAATCTCATTAGGAAGCTCATTTCGGACTTCGACATCGGTTCCTCGTTAAGTCCCTTGGCTACGTGCATTATTTCCTTGGCATAGAGGTCACTAGGACCAAGGGAGGATTACACATGTGCCAATCTCGGTATATTCGGGATCTTCTCAAAAGAGCAAATATGCGGGATGCCTCGCCCATGGTCATGCCCGGCAACTTACGTTCCCCCATCACGGATATTACCGCATTTGACAATCCCATACTATTTCGGAGTATTGTTGGTGGGCTACGATATCCGATCCTCACGCGGCCGGATGTATCATTTGCTATCAATCGTAATGCTCAATCTATGCATGCCCCCACTGTCGAACAATGGGTGTTAGTCAAGCGTATCCTACGCTATCTCAAAGGCACACCGACTCATGGTCCGCTCCTCACCCCTTCCTCCTCTCATCACATCTCTCGCATACACCGATGCTGATTGGGGGGGGGGACATCATAGATCGGAAAAGCACAACGAGTATATGCAATCTTTCTTGGCAACAATCTTATCTCTTGGACTTCACGAAAGCAAAGAACAGTAGCTCGCTCTTCCACCGATGCAGAGTACGGGGCCTTGGCTACAACGGCCTCCGAGGTCACATGGCTCCGGTCCCTCTTGCGTGAAATTGGTTTCCCACTACAAGCCGCACCCACACTTTGGTGTGATAATCTGTCGCCTACCTACCTAACTCGCCAATCCGAGTCTTTCATGCTCGCTCTAAACATTTGGAGATTGACTTCCATTTTGTTCGGGACAAAGTTCGTAAAAAGGAATTACAAGTGCGCTACATCTCCACCAAAGATCAACTAGCTAACATCCCGACTAAATTCCTTGCAAAACGACAACATCTCCATTAGGTCACTAAGCTAACCGTGCTTCCAGCAGCTCAACTTGAGGGAGGATGATAAGGATTAGATTTAGTCAAGATAATCTTTAGAAGTTGTATCCATTATAATAACCTATTATAACAAGAACTCTATTGTATAGTCATCTTTATCTCTATAACTCGAAACTCTATTTAAAGAGTTTCCGTAGCACATAACATATGTAAGATAATTCTTTGCAACTTACTCTTTGGATCTTTACTATGTAGTCACTAATTTGATATGTGTTAATGTGTTAGTAATTTACAATAAAAAATTTAGTGAAAGTAACAAAATATCCGAGTGAATTTAGCAGTACCTTATATATATATATATAAAGCAAGCCACAATGAGGATGCAGATTCTATGGCAACAGGTAACGATGATAAAAACAAAGTAGAACCATAATTAAAGTTTAGCCCTAGCAATCAACAGTGGCAGTGTGTCCTTGCATGGGTGAAAAATGGAATTTAACTAATAAACACAAAGGCAAACAAGAAGTAATCTGTTTTATCTATTTTTCTTCTAGATGCTCTTGTTGGCAAAATGGCAGGGCGATGGACAAAAGGTTTGGATGTGTGAGAATAACCAGATGGATGATTATAGCTGAATCATGCTGCCTTTTCCAAGTTGATTGCAGTGTTCATGGAAACTACATATAGGTCACGTGAGGTTCAGACATAGTCAACAGTGTAAATTCCCTTATCATTTGGAAATATGCCTGCTAACTTAGAACTTCCCCAGATTTTGTTATGCAAAGACCTGCTACTTCAGCGCCTGCATCGAAAACCAGAAAATCATTCCATTTTACATCTTATTAAATTCAATCACAACCTACAATGATACCCATTGTTGCTTCATATATTTCAAATTTTATCGAAGGCGGCAGTTAAAAAATGTCATCTGCTGTAACTCATACAAACATTACAAGTTAAGTCATGCTGGAACTTGTTAGAGAACCTCTCCCACATTAAATAAATAAACAATAAATAAATGAATACTATATAAAGTTGAGAAAATACCACCCATTATAAGATTTAAGTTTTCAAAATGGAACCAATATCAATTATTTAACTCTATAAAACTATAGGAACTTAGGACTTTTTGAGTCCCTGAAGGTACCTAAAATATAGCCAAACATAAGAATTAAGTTGCTAGTAAATAGCAACGGGCATGAGTATGAACTGGTTTACAGGCATGTTTGTAGCTAAATATAGCCCAGTATGAACTCATAAAGGACTTCGAAGAGATGCTTTTAGAAAGATGCATGACTGATGCAACATCAAACCATGCTAACTGACCTAAGTCATGCCAATCAACATATCCACATGAATTGTTTGGATTGAGAGCTATGACTGCTGCTGTCCTTGTTCCAAAATATCCAGAAAAAGCACAATTTCATAATTAATCAGGAGATTTTAAGAGCTTTTACTCTCCTTGCTATTATGGCACCAAGTAATGCAAAATATGCAGAAAGAGATATAAAAAAACTGTCAAAATTGTTTGCAGTGCCTTAACTTAAGAAGATGGGAACAATACCATGTCTAAATCACAATATTATTACCTTCATAGCTTCAGTTCTTCTCCTTTTGCAATATCCTGGAGTGAGACAAAGCTTGGGATGTATGCAGTCATTTCAATGCATTCCATGCCTTCAGTTATTCCTGTATCCTGAAAGATTTCCCACACAGACAATGCATTCATCTACTAGCAACATCAAGATTTCCCCAGAACTTGAGGTAAAAAAAGGGAAAAAAGACAAAATCAGATAAAAGTACGTTTCCGAGGTAATCATCTAATTGTAGGGTTACAACAACAAACTTTTTGGACCAAGACTCCTTGACGCCATACTCCTCCATAACCCATATCTCAATATCTCCACATTCAGAATAAACTTCAAAAGCCACAAATAGCCAAGCTTTTAAAACTCCCACACATGCAATCGAATGGATCCTGGAGCCTTCAAGTATTTGAGAACTAGGAGGTAAAGACAACCGCTTAAACTGCTCAAAACCAAAGTCAAAAGCACAAATAAACCCATCGTTTTCAAGAGTACAATCAATCCAATGGACTGAATCATGCACAAAAGCATTGGCATCCAGATGTCCAAGGTTGAAAGGAGCATTTCCCATGCTTCTCCATCGTCCTGTACCAACCGTGTATACTTCAGCCCGGACTTGCCTAACATACTCTCCCTCTGGAAAAATAGTCTGTAGCGCTTTGTATTGATTACTGACGGAACTGAACCCCAAAGCAAAGCGGTGTCCATATTTTCTAAGCTTATGAAGAACCGGAATAATAATGTACTCTCCTAATATTGGATTGCAAACATAAATCATTTGATTGAAATCGCCTTTAGACTTTCCATACAAGCAAAGCAAGCCATTGCAAGAATTTATAAAGTGGAATTCAGTATCAGGCAAGTTTGTGTTGGAAACAAACCTCATTTTTTCGACATCCAAAGTTCTGTTGTGAACTTCTTCAACAAACTGAGTTGATAATAGTTCCTTACTTCTGAAACAGCCATCTTCAATCAAGATAGCAGTGGATGATTTTGAGAGATGGAGTTTGGCAAAATGAGGATCTGAAATTAAATACAGCCAAGTTTTGCAGACAAACTTACAGATGAAAAGGAACTAGATGGGCAATCTTGAGAAAATGTCCATTATCAAACCATGGGGCAGCTCAGCCACTGAGCATTTTGATTATGCTCTGCTGCTCTCTTTCTTTTAGCATCCATGGAGACTGTTTTCCCTCTTGTTAGAAGTCAGTTAAGATGGTTATTAGTTTCAAATAACACGTGGGATTTAATTATCAATTAGTTAGTTAGTCAGTCGAGTCTGTTATAAATGTTAGTTTGTTATAGCAGTCCCTAACTTCTCACCTGCAGTATAAAAGGGGAGAAGAGAAATGCTTTCAGTGTGAGATTACAAAGCAATTATTCTTTTGGTTGAATAAGAAGAAGTAGACACTTTCTCTCCTTTATTATTTCCAGTTTCAAAACCTCTATTTCTCACTGCTTGAAGGGGATGGAGAGATGGAGTGAGTAGGAGAGGGTTTGTTTTTTTTGGGTTTGTCCGGAGAAAGAGGAAAAAAATCGTTTATGGAGAGTGCAATGGGCTTCTTTAGATATTAGGTTATTTTGCAATTTTTTCTCTTTGTTTTACATATTATTTTTTATATTTTGAAAAATAATAAAACAATCATTATCATATTTATTTTGCTTTTTTTTTTTTTTAATGAAAACACACTAACTTATGTTGAGTAAAAAAAAAAAAAAATCTTAAGGCCAACAATCAAGATGGTTTATTTATTTTTTTTAAATACAAGAAAACGAATTAAATGAGACTATATGCTATTAAAATTGTCTGAAAAAAGATTTAGTTTCCTTTCATATATATAATTAAAAACATCTATGATTGTTGTTTCAAACAATTTTAAGTATAAAAATTGTATAAGGGAAGCTGTTAGCACAACTTCATTAATTTTTTTTCTAATAGAATGACTAAACTATCCTTTTTGTTTTCAAATAGTTTAAATAAGACTTAATATACTAAAAAATCAAGAATTTTATACGTTTCAATTACATTAGCACGTTTTTTTTAATATTGGATAAAAAAATATGAACTAAACTTCTAATAACCAAATTAGCATAGGTGAATTATTTCAACTTAAATTATGTTTTAAGTTGACATGAAATGTGAGGAGTATGACAACTTAGCTGAATTACATGTCATTCACTCCCCACATGTCATTTCACGTGGCCTATTTGAGAAATTAAATATCCAACTAGTGAACTGGATGCCATTCACTCCCTCTCAAACCCAATTAATAAAAATCTCTAAACCTAATTGAAAAATCTCTACCCTCAATAACCCTTAATTCTTCTCATTTGAAAATCCCCAACCTTCCTTTTTCTCATTTACGAACCAAACATCACCCTCTGTCATCGTGAATACCTCAACCTCCTCTCCCTTTGACATTGCGAACCCAAATCCCTCGACGAACCTTCAACCAAATCCCTTAAAAACCTAATCCCCCAAATTGAAAAACCCAAACCCCTTCCTGTCCAAACCTAATCCCCCAAATTCAAACTTTCGAATGCACTCCAATTCAAAGCAGTGATATGTTTGTAAAGTTTCATAATGTAGTGGTTTTCCACTTGCTAATGAAGGGAAAGACATGAGAACCATTGGCAGCAAACAATATTGGTAATATAAAAAAAAAAGAAAAAAGAAAAAAGAAGAAGAGAAAAAGTGACAGTGATTCGTAGGCAACAAAAACATTCGCAATATACATCTATGGTGGCCAATCAATATTATACCTAAAAAGGCCAAATGCAAGTTTAAACTAAATTAAATCGCACCATCAAAGTAATAACTATACCCAAAAACCTTCATGGGGGTTTGGGTTTTTCAATTTGGGGGATTAGGCTTGGACATGTGAGGGTTTGAGTTCTTCAATTTAGGGGATTAGGTTTTTAGGGGATTTGATTGAAAGTTCATCAGGGGTTTGGGTTTTGCGATGGCAGAGGGAGAGAAGGTTGAGGTGTTTGTGGTGACAGAGGGTGATGTCTGGGTTCGGGGATGAGAAGAAAGAAGGTTAGGGATTTTAAAATGAGAAGAATGAAGGATTAGAGGGTTATGAATTTTTCAATTGGGTTTGAGGATTTTGTTTCAGTTGGGTTAGGAAGAGAGTGAATGACATGTGGTTCACTAGCTAGGTATTTAATTTCTCAAATAGGCCATGTGGAATCTTACGTTATAAATTTAGCCAAGCTGTCACATTCCTCACATGTCTTGTCAGTTTAAAATGAAATTTAAACTATAATAATTGACATTTATTAATATGGTTATTATAATTATTGTTAATATATTTTATGTCTAATATTAACATGCTAATATAATTAAAACGTGCAAAGTTTATAATTTTTTAGTGCATTAAACCTTTAAATAAAACCTAAACTTTACTTACTCTTGCTCTCATAAGCTAATTAGAAAGGCAAGTCTGTTGTCTAGGGTTACGAAGGATTAGTAGTTTAAATTATTGCAAACCATATTAGCTTTTAATTTAAAAAAGACAACATTTTTATAAATTTTTGGTATTAAAATTCCAATCTCATTCCATTCCACCTTTTTGATTTTTTTTACACTTGTTCTAGGAATGAGAATCACCTTACACAATTAGATTTAAACAAGCTTTTGGTCTTTCTGCCCACATTTTCTTTTCTTCCACAAATATTTTACTACACTTCAAGCCACCTTGAAGCCCATTACTAGAGGTGGAAACCCTTGGCTTAGCCACTAGGGTGAGAAGATTGCTGGAATTGTTGGCAGTCACGTAATGAAAAATCCATTGTAGCATCAGATATTATCCATTAATTGTAACTAGGATTATAAATAGATCAGATATTGACTCAATTTCGACTTGAATCCGATATAATTAAATGGATATAGTAAAATAACTTTTTTTTAATATCCAAATCTGATTTTGATCTGAATTCATTAATTCGTTTATTAAATAGATCTACACGCTTGATTCAATCTAATAATAATCTGATCCAAAATTAAAAATAATATTTGTATAATAAATATAATATTTTTAAAATATTAAAATTTTAAATATGAAAAATATATATAAATATAATACAACTGTATTTTTTAAAAATCACATAAATATCTAGTCATTTTCTTAATTCAATTTCGTGAAAAAAAAATATAAATGAACTTATATACATTTCAAGAGTTGATATTATTATATTTGTCATCACTCTGTTTTTGCTACCATGTAGACAAGAAATAAAAATTATTAATTATTTATTTTACCTAGTTCAAAAGAAATTTCTATTAAAATTATTTGATTTTGCGCTTTTGAATTATGTGGCATTTTGAATTTTTTTATAAAATTGATAGATAAAATATTATTTTAATATATTTAATTATATATCTACTAATTGATATATATTTTATATTCCAGCAGTATATTAAATGTAACGAGCATGATTTTTTTTATAAAATCAATCCAATAAGTTAGAATCCACATCCAAACTTATATTTCAAAACCCAATCAGAATTCGTAAAATTTAATATCGAATCTGGATCTATTATGATCTGATCTAAATTGGATCGATTGACAACCCTAATTACGACAGCCAACAATAATTAAAACAAAGTAGAATCGTAATTGAAATTTTTCTTCAATAAACAAAAGACTGGAGCTTGAATATGCAGGATGACTCCAACCTAGACAGATGCCTTCGTCGTCAAACTGGCAAGGCGATAGACAAAAGGGTTGACTATGTGAGAATAACCAGATGGATGATTATAACTGAGCCGTGCTGCCTTCTCCAGTGCATCCCAACGGTCGATCGCAGACAGTCTCTGAGACTGTAAATCCCCTTTCCATTTGCGAATGCCTGATAATAAACAACTTCCCAGATTCTGTTGCGCAAAGAACTGCTACTTCAGCACCTGCATCAAAAACCAACAAAATCATCCCATTTTACATCTTTATTAAATTTAAGCACAACCTACGAAGATACCCGTTATTGCTTCATACATGTCAATTTTATCGAAGACGACAGTTAAAAAATATCATCTGCTGTAGCTCATACTAACATCATAAGAAGTGAAGCCGTCCTTGAATTCCAAGAACTAATTGCATTTTGAGTGGCTGAAGGAACCACAAATATAGCCCAGCATAAGAACGAAGTTGCAAGGAAATTCTGCGAGCACGAGTATGAACTAGTTTACAGATATATTTGTAGGAAAAAGTAATAGTCTAGAGAATCTAATTGACATATCTCTTTATATAACAACAGCTAGGATAATTAAAAGTTGATAATTAAAAGAAAGTCACTCGACTGCAGTGCATGTCAAAAAAATAGTGTGGGAGAAGAGAGGGTATATACTCTCGTTAATGCCCCCCATGCTTTTTAAGCTGACAGCACAATATTTTCCTCCAAATTATACGGTAAACAATTCATTTGACAATTTTTTTCAATCCAAGAAGGAACTGAAGCAACTTAATCTAGTTGAGAATCAACAAACACTTACAAAAGAGTAAAAATTGATGGGTGAAAGGGAACAATCTTTAGAAAACCTCATACTTTAGGCATCAGCATTAAGAAATGCCGCAAGCTAGCACCAATCCATGTACGGCTATTTCCCAAAGGCCAATCAAACACAGAGATCATTGTCATATATAGAGAAGATAAAAGAATTTAACCTCCCAAATGGTCTTGACATAAAGTGTAGATAAGCCCCACATACATTGCACCAACATCAGACCAAACCATAAGTGGATGCTAAAGACAAAATTTGTGTTGATGGGTATTTTATGAGCCAATTTATACATTTATTTTTTGGTACCAATAAAAAAAATGGAAATTTGATGGGCTATAACAGATTGGTAAACTCTGAACTTATAATCAATTTGCAAAAGTGCACCAAATAAGATTTTAGTTTCTTGCATCACAAAGTTACGGATTTGGTTCTTCAAGTACTAAGAATTGATTTGTCCCTAATTGATTAGTATATGTCTTCAATTGTTATCGATATCCTATTGATGTATGGGCAGTAAGAGGAGAATACCTGTTCTTCTCAAGATTAAAGGACTGGCTAACAAATCTGGGATTCAAATCACCCTTTTTTACTTCACAAGAGTATCATTGATTTACAAGTTAATTGGAAAAGAAGTATCGACCTTTCAATCCTCAAGGTATCTTATCTATGCAATGCGCAATCAATAGACCACAAGGTCATAATTCAATTGGCATGCTTCATTGAAAAAAGAAAAGAAAAAGAGAAACCAAAACTATAAATATTTAGCTTGATAATAATCAATTCCTGCTGAATTAAGTTCTGCCACAGTTTGTTAATACATATGACATTGTGGTTAAAGTTTAAAAAATCTTTATGTACGTAAAATACAGAAAAGGACAGGAATGAAATGACTTTTAAGGCTTTAGGTACATTTCTTTACCTCTAGCTGGCTATAAAACAAAACAAAACTTAATCTAAGCAAAGACATTTTGAATAGATAGCAGTTCCTATTCAAACTTTTTCCTACTGCATAAAATCAAAATTAGCAGTACACATTGCCCACTCACTGGAGAAGCGATGCATGCACCCCCAATCAGCCCAGCTTGGTCCTATAAGAAATGTTTCGTGGTCAGGAATTTCCACTAGAGAGAAAAAAGAAAAGCATAGAAAGTCATTTCACCAATACTAAAAACTCCCAAGAACTTCGAGGAGATGTTCTCAGAAAGCTGCATGATTGCTGCAACATCTAAGCATAATAACTGACCTAAGTCATGCAAAACTACATAAATCAACTAAGGGAAGCTATCAACATGAACCTTTGGAGTTTACTGTTATGACTGCCATTGTTAGAAAACTTCCAGTAGATGATTTTTTTATTTTTTATTTTTATAAAGAATTAGGAGGATTTGATGAGCTTTAACTTCCCTTGCATTATGGAACTAAGTAATGCAACATATGCAGAAAGAGGTATAAGAAAACTGTCAAAACTTGTCTGCAGCGCGTCAATGTATCATGAGCGATATGAAGTTATAACAAACAAGAAGTTTAGAACAATACCATGTCTAGCTAACAAATTATTACCTTAGTATCTTCAGTCCTTCTTCTTGAGCAATATCCCAATTAAAGCGAAAGAAAGATCGGGCTGTATCTCACACTAATGATTTCTGTTCTCTTTGTTATTTCTGTGTCAGATGCTGCTATTCACCATAAAGAAGAAATCAATGAATGCCAAAATGGGGGATGCAGAGTACAGTGCAACTATACTCCGTAACCTAAAATTTAAGTTTGGCCTTACTGATATTTCACGATATAGATAGGCTCCGTAAACATAATAGTCCAGAAATTTTAATTTAAAATATTTCACGATATAACAACTACTACGATAATTACAAGTTGATAATGAAAAGAATATCATTCAGCTGCAGTGCATACCAAAAAAATATTATGGAAGAAGGATGGGTTTCCTTAATGTCCTACCTCCCTTTCAAACTGAAAGGGAAAATTTTTCCTCCAAATCACAAGGAAAACAGTTAATTTAATGAACCCGAACTTAAGCAACTTAATGAGGTTGAGTCAACAAACATAGACAAATCAGTAGCAATTGATGGGTGAAAGGGAACAGTCTTTAGAAAACCCATAATTTCGGCATCAACATTTAAGAAATGCCACAGGTTAGCAACTATCCCTGTACAGCAATTTCCCAACAGACTAATCAAACACAGAGACTGTTGTGATATACAGAAAAAGAGACAGAGCAATTAACGTTCCAAAACATGATCTGAAATGTATATAAAACCAGGCTGGACCATAAGTGGATGCAAAAGTCACAATGTTTCCAGCTGGATATATCAGCCTATCTATGCATTCATTTTTTTTTTAACCAAAAAAGAAATAAGGATATTTGATGGGCTGTAACAGATTGAGAAACTCTGAACTTATAATCAATTTGCAGAAGACAAGCTGAATGGGCTTTTAGTTCATTGTTTCACTATGATAACCAAAGAAATACAGCTTATAGTTCTTGACCTCTAGCAGGCTGTAAAAGAAAAACAAAACTTAACTTTACCAAGAAATTTTGAATTAACAGCAGTTCCTCTTCACTTTTTTAATACTGCCATAAATCAAAATGAGCAAATACCCACTCCCCGCTCACAGAAGAAGCAATATATGCAATCTCAACCAAGCCAGCTCGGTCTAGCTAAGAAATGGTTCATGTCATGAATTTGCAATCAAGAAAGCAAGTAATAACAGCTAGCAATAAAGTCATTCTACCAACAATAAAAAACAGGAGAGCTTTGAGGGCATGTTCTCAGGAAGATGCACAGCTACTGCAACATCTGAGCATACTAACTGACCTAAGTCATGCCAGAACCACATTACTCAACAAAGGAAAACCATCGACGTGAACCTATTGAACTGATGACATTTACAAATGCTCAGTTCCTTGCATTATGGAACTAAGTAATGCTAGATATGCACAAAGTGGAATCAGGAAAGTGTCAAAAACAAATCATGAACAACAGAAGTTACAACAAGAAAGAAGATGAGAACAATACCATGTCTAGATCACAAAACATTACCTTAGTACCTTGAGGTTGTATGCAGTAACACCAATAAATTTCATTCCCTTTCCTGGAAACTCTTCAACTTTGGGTCATAACAGACAATAATGTGACATTCGAGCATCATCAAGATTTTCCAAAGCTCAAGCAAAATAAGGGCTCAAAAAAGAGATAATCATCAAACTGAAGTTTCTAACGACAAACTTTTTGGACCAACACTCCTTGATGCCATATTCCTCCATAACCCATGTCTCACTTTGTCCACGTTCAATACACACACCTTTTAGTCATGAATAGGCAACCTTTTAAAACTCCCAAACATGTAGGTCTGAACTACACTACACCAAAAATGTACCCTAGAGGCAGAGTATTTGGGGCGGTCAAGAAAACCGCCCCAAAATTTAGTAGTCTTTAACTTACCGAAAAAAAGATGGGGCGGTTTTATCAACCGCCCCACCCCACGATTTAAGCAGCCAGGGCACCCATATTTCCTTTTTTTTATATTCTATTTTAGGTTTTGAAAAGGAGAAAGACGCTTCTTTCTCTTTGGGTTTTTCTTCTCGTCCTCCTCCTCTTCTTCTCTCTTTCTATTTAATTAGGCATGACCAGAATCCTTCATAAATAACGATTTCATGCCACACAACATTAGCTTAAGAAGTGTTTGATGCTAGATTGCTGGGTACCATAGCAGAACCCAGGTAAGCAATAAAAGAGGAATTTTTTTGTTTGTCTAAGTGATTTTTGCTTTGAATGAGGTTTTGAGTTGTTTTTCAAGTTCTATATTTTAAGGCTTTTGAGAATTGGGTATGAGTTTTGATTAGAGGTTAAGACTTCTTGATTTTAGATTTTCGTGTTTTTTTTTATCGTTTTTTTGAATTGGGTATTCTATTTTTATTTTATTCTTGCTAAAACTAACGTGAGTTTCTCTACTTTAGTTCAGCTGTGTGTATTAATTTGTTTATTTCATGGATTTTTTTTGTCTTTAATCTTTAATCTCTGCAGATGAAAGTCTGGTTTCCCTCTTTGTTGTAGAACTAAATTCTTTTTGTTTCACGTTAGTAATTGAAATTAGAAAACCATCGTTAGTCACAACTTAACCATAACAAAGGAGCTGATGCCTCCTCCCTTGCTTAATCACTTGCACTGGTGCCCTAATTGTGGTTGAAGTTGTCTGTGTGTGTGTGGGGTTGAAATTGTGTGTGTGTATATTCATAAATTTTCCACATAATTGGTTTGCAAGACAGATTCATGCTAGGATTTAACATGTTGGTTGTTCTATTTCACAACTAGTCTAAACAAAAACCTATGGCACCTTTAAGTAAAATTTTCTAACAATAAGTCACTGGAAAAACCTTTTATCTCTGGAAGCTGTGTCTGTTAAGTTGTTCTCATTTATTGAGCTTTACATCATCCCAATTAAAAGCAGCCAACTATTTAAGTCGAAAGATTGCTGCCTTGCCCTTTGCCTATTGATTTGAATTTTTTCAGTGTGCAATGCAACTGTCTTTGGAGTTTCCACAGAATCTATGCAGTTGTCATATGACTCAAGAGGGAATAGTGTGCCAACAATTCTCTTGCTAATGTAAAGGTGCTTGTATGTAGGTACATCACCTTGTCATTTTCTTTGTTAGCATCATTATGCAGACTCAAAGATAGGGCAATTGGGGATAAAATGGAATACTTTGGTAACATTGGGATAAAATATATATGGTGAATGCATGCATTAATTTCAATGTAAATAATGCTTCAACTAGATATGAAACAAAGCTGAACCTCAATTGATAAAAACTCGTTTCAGAATGTATAACTGTTATCAAATTGAAAAGTGAGGCTGATGCACCATTATTCAAATTATTATTATTATTATTATTATTATTATTGTGTAAAACTTCATATGTGGCAACTAAGTACTTGTTATCTAATTGTATTTATTATAAGCACCATGATCATGTGGGAGAGAACTAGTTGATTAAAAAGCTATGTCAGTTAACATATCACTTTTTCTTTCATAAGACTACTTTTTCAAAAAAGAAAGTGGAAAAAATGGTACTTTCTCTTGAAAAATGCTGTCAAACTATTATCATAACCTACTAAAATAGTGATTGCAAGCATATTTATCGAGTCACAGATCTTGTAACTTCATAATGTCAAATTTTACCGTTATGGGATTTACTATAGTGTTTTCAAATTAGAAGAAAGAAAAACTATGTTCTGAGTAATTTATAATCACTATATTCTGATTATGTTGGTCATAATCAAATCATTAATCATTGCATTCAGGCTAAAGGGATTTTCTGAATTTATGTAGAAAACATCTAGTAGGAGTATGTTAGGGAGAAACTAAATGGTGGGGTGTTTGGCAGGGCTTATAAAGGTATAGCAACACAGATTATTCTCAGATCATTCCCTATTATCACTACACTAAAATATGATTATAGGGGCGGAATCACTGATGTCTTTAATTATCATAATCTATCTATTTAATTTCTTGTTTTGTTTTAAATCCTCTAAATTGATCTAGACTAACTTTCTTCTTATTTCAGGAAAGATGACTGAGACAAAGATACTAGGAAATGGTTTTGACGATGAACAAGGACAACCTTCAAATTCTGATCCAGTGGATAAGGTATGCTATTGCCAATATATATATATACACACACACACACACACTGTAAATGAACATTGTATATTGTGTTAAGACTTTAGTAGGATTTTAGTTGAACATTTTACTACTTGGACAAATTACTTCTGCATTCTGTAACTACAGTTCTTTGAGCTTATTATCATCTTTTGCCCTATGACTGGTGGTTTTAGGGACTTTTAATGTAGTCAACTGAAAGAGCATACTACAATTGTGGTATTTTTTCGTTTCTTTGTTTTGCTAACACTTAGGATCCCATGTCTGCCTCTCTTTGTATATTACACAATGAAAATGAACTTATTGAGATCACCATTGCTTCTTATGTTTCAAATGCAAAACTAGGATCTGGTCTGGATTTTAGCAAATGGGTTTTAATTGACAGTTCTTTCTTAAATTGTAACATAGTAGTCTCATCAGTTGAATTTTATGTCTTGATGCCTCAAGAGTTCGGAGTTAGCTAGAGATTCGCTGTAATAAATTGCTGATGTACCTGGAGTGCACCTTAATAAGGGAGTCAACTTATAAAAACTCCCTTGTCATAGCAAATTGACTTGGTTTGATAACGTGATACAATAAAAAACAAAAAAATTTAATAATATAATATTCAAAACAAATGTTTCTTGTAAGTTCCAATTTTAATAATTGGGTTGTTACCTTATGGATGCTTGCTAACCATTTGTTGTAGGTGCAGGAGCAGCCATGTGCACTGGTGCCAACTTTTCCACTAAATTTTGTTGTAAAGATAAAATAATGGCCCTTCTTCAATGCTTGTTATGATCCATTGCAAGTCTAAACCTGATTGGTACCATAATTTCTTGGTGCGCTGATGACAGGATACTAAATGTGTGCTTCGATCTCCTAAACCAACATTCAAGCATAAAATGCTCCCTCTACAAGTCTGAAATTGTACTTGCAAGTTTCTTGATCTTACTCGTGTATCATATACTTTTAATTAAATAATTAACATGTTTCTTGATCTTAAAATATTTTTAATGAGTTTTTATCTGTATTTATATTATTATTATTATTATTATTATTTTGACTTTCAAATTGTGCTTTTGATAGTTTCGCAATGATGGTAATGGTCAAAATGCTCCTTCTCCTAATCGCTCATCACAATCAAGTCATCTGTCGAAATGAAACATTTCCATAAAAACGTGATTGTTTTTTTTTATAAATGTTAGCCACTTATTTTAAACTATATTTGGAATTTTGTTTATGTATTTTGAACAGGTGTTTAATCCTTTAGTTTTTTTTTTTTACTTATAAATGTTTGACGACTTTTTATGTATTTGGAATTTGATAATTACAAATTTAAGAATATTGTGTAAGTTATATAATTTTTCTTTTATTTGCATTCAACAAGATTAACTTTTTATTTATTTATTTATTTTTTGACAAAATAAAAAAAAACAATTGAATTCGAAGGATGAATTATAAAATCCGTATAAATTTGGAATAAAATTCATTTATTCCCCACGAATTATCAAATCGGGAACGTAGAGGCGGTTACAAATTATAAATTTTATAGTTTAGGGCAGTTTTGAATTTGTAATTTTCGAAACGTAGAGGCGGTTTTGAACCGCCTCAAAAATTACGCGTCAAAAAACTTTGATGATAATATTGGTATCGTAGAGGCGGTTTGAACCGCCTCAAAAAAAAAAAAATTTTGAGGCAGTCTAAACCGCCCCAAGAAACCGCCTCAAAAAAAAATTTTTGAGGCGATTTGAATTGCCTTAAGAAACCACCTCAAAAATCCCCGACGGTTGTCAAAACCGCCCCTACACTATAGAGACGGCGGCATTGCAGGCGGTCCCAGGGCGGTCCTCGAAACCGCCTCTACAATTTGTAGAGGCGGTTATAACCGCCTCTAGAAGCCAAAAACCGCCTGCAATGTTTTTTTTTGGTGTAGTTTCGGCATGCCACAATATGTTTTAGAAAATGAAGGTCTTAAAATGCTCAAATCGAAAATCAAAGGCAAAAATAAATCCTTCAATTCCATAATCAAGCCAATGGATTGAATCATAAGAAAACATTGACTATTAGATACGGTTTTTTTTTTTTTTAATTAAAAATCAGAAGGAACAAAGTTTAGTTTTACTTTTTGAAAACAAAAGGTACGAAAGACACGAAATACAACCTAAACTTCACTTGCTCTCATAAGCTAATTAGAAAAGCAACTTAATCCAGCGAGTTGAGGATCAACAAACACAGACAAAAGAGTAATAATTGATGGGTGAAAGGGAACAATCTTTAGAAAACCCCATAATTTAGGCATCAGCATTAAGAAATGCACAGGTTAGCAACAAAGGCAGAGATCATTGTGAAATAAAAATGATAAATGAAATTAACCTCTGAAATGGTCTTGACATGAAGTTGAGATAAGCCCCACACACATTGCAACAACGTCAGGCCGAACCCTAAGCAGATGTTAAAGATACAATGTTTCTTGATGAGTATGTAATGAGCCTATTTGTACTTTCATTTTTGGTACCAAAACAGAAAAGGAAATTTGATGGGCTATAACAGATTGAGAAACTCTGAACTTATAATCAATTTGCAAAATTCGTGCCAAATGAATTTTTAGTTGCTTGCTTCACAAAGTTACAGATTGGTTCTTCAAGTTCTTAGGATTGATTTGTCCCTAATTGATAGTAACTTCAATTTTTATGAATATCCTAATGATGTATGGGTTGGGGGCTGGGTTATTTTTGCAATTTTTTTTTTTTTGTTTTACATATTATTTTTTTCCTTTTTTTTTTTTTTTTGAAAAATAATAAAACAATCGTTGTCAGTTTTACGGATATAGCCCAGCATCAGAATGAAGTTGAAAGAAAATTCTACGAGCATAAGTTTATTAGTTTATTTAATTGATATATTTCTTGATATATTTAATTGATATATGTTGAAGTTTAATATTTAGCATGATAATAATCAATTCCTGTTAAAGTTAAGTTAGTATACGTATGACATCATGGTTAAAGTTTGAAAAATCTTTAGGGATGTAAAAGACATAAAAGGACAAAAGTAATACAACGTCCAGTTCATGAATTTCAGCTGACCATATAACAAAAAAAAAAAATAATAATAATAATAATAATAATTTTAATTTAAGCAAGGCATTTTGAACAAGGTTTAATCGTGTTAGACATCCCTCTGCTTTTAATATATATTTTTTTAACGTGGCCTTCATATATATATATATATATATATATATATATATTATTTTAAATGCACAGAACTTTGAATTTGGATTTAGCATATGAATTTGGAGATTGTCCTTTCGATATCCGTGATTATCCACAAAGCTTTCCAAGACCAGGTGATAAATTTCCACCATGGCTTTTGATGCTAGAACTCAATAATTTGGTGAGATTGAAGTTAGAACACTTCATGAAGTGTAAAGAACTTCCAACAGTAGGGCATCTTTCCCATCTTAAAATTCTTGAGATAACATGAATGAATGGTGTGAATGGAATAGGTGAGAAGTTTCCTAGTAGTGGTGGAATCGGTCTGGATCCAATATTTCCAGCATTTAAAAGAATTGTCTCTATGGAATATGGAGAGTTTAGTTCAATAGAAGATACCTCGAGGAGGAGCAAATGTTGACAGAGGAGGAAATGCAGTTGTGGTATTACCCAGCTGTGAAAAGTTGCACATTGAGAACGAAAAAGTGCTGAGGCCATGCCAAAACTTGGCAACACTACAGGCTTTGGTGCGAGCAAGAAATAGCCATTATGGTAGTGCGTGGAGGAATGCCGTGCTTGCTTCAAGCTGGTCAAAGATCCTACTTTTGCCACTTCTAAAGAAATCTTCACAAACCTTTCTGATATTGGGTTTGCTTTCTTAATTTTTACGGTGTGCATAATTTGTTTGACGAAATGTGGCAAAGAAAAAGGCGAAGCTGTTATTGTGCGGAAAAGGTAACAACAGATTGGACTAGATGATTTTGCCATTTACATTTGACTGCATTTGTTATGAGATTTTGCGAGGTTAGGTGTTGTGCAGTTGCTAAGATGGCAAGCAGATCGTAAATGAGAAAGCAAAACAGGAAAGTTAGGGAACAACATGCTATATCTTAAAATAGGAAAGGTCAGGTAGTAATTTTTGAACGATATTTATCAGTAGCCGTAGAAGAAACTCTGCAGCTAAACCCAGGCAGTTGGATTGGGAGCGGTTGTTCTTTGTTTGATTTAGTACTTTAGTTTTAGAGTTTCTAAAGCAGAAATTCTTATACTTAATTGGTTTTAAAAGCATACGCTAGGTTTCATTGCTTTCAAAAATTTGAGGACTTTGGTATCTTTAAAATGACCCCCATCTTTTGCATAACTAGCCTGATTTTTCCATTTGCATTCAACTGCATTTGTTATGGGACTGGGTCTAGATGAATTAGGTTTAGATACTCTTTCGTTTTGAATGAATTGGGTTTGGATGCTGGGTTGGTTAATCATGAATTCTCCCCTCCTTACTTCTCTCTCCTTTTCCCTTCTCTCTCTGTCTCACATAACCCACGGCATGAAGCTACCACCACCGAACCAGCCGGGTTGACCTCCTGCTCGTATCCTATGTGTCACTTTGTCTAAAACGCTGAAACCCATTTAGAGTTTAATTTTAAAAAAATTCACAACTCTACTGAATTATTCTTTGATTATTCTCACTTATTTTTAATTAATGTACAATGTTCGAAACTTCTTCTTCTCTTGCTCTTAATTTTGTGATTTTTATAATAAAATCTGAAGTTAAAAGCAAACACAAGTTTGAAATCATTTATGTATTCTGCATAGATGTTGAAAATTTATCACATTGATAGATGAATGAATAGTTAACAATCAAATCAGTAAAAATTCATTTGTAGAAGAAACGAAGAAATCAGAATGATAGTTTTTTTCTTCAAAAACAGAAACCAGACACTGTTGCAAATCATGTTAGCATTTAATTTCAAAATACAAAGCATATATATATATATTGACTGTAAAAAAAGAAAAAAGAAAAAAAATAGTAAATTATAAATTAGTATTTCTATTTTAGGAAAAAAGAATTAATCAGTCATATTTATTTCAAAACCTTGCTATTTAGTTTTTTTAACCAGCATCGATTACCTATAATTTAATATATATATATATATATATATATTAACTGTAAAAAAAAAAAAAGTAAATTATAAATTAGTATTTCTATTTTAGGAAAAAAGAATTAATCAGTCATTTTTATTTCAAAACCTTGTTATTTAGTTTTTTAACCAAGCATCGATTATCTATAATTTAATATTATTTTATTTTATAACATATTATATTTTTGAGATAATTAATAGAAAAACCCTCTAAAAAATCTTATATCCAAATAACCCATCAATTTATTTTTAAATCTCTCAAACCCAAAATAATATTTTTCTTACCAAAACACCCAATAGTTAACCTCCAACTTAACATTAGTTAACTATTGGGTCTTTTGGTAAGATAATTTTTTTATTTTTAGATTTTAGAGATTTAAAAAATAAATTGATGGATTTTTTAGATAGAAAATTTTTTATAATTTTTTTATATAGTTTTTTTTTCTTATAACAAACTCATTTCATATTTTTTAATGACTTTGATATTTATTATTATTTTTTTATGATCAAGTCAAGTTCTTTTTTTATTGCATTCGAAAAGAAAAAAAAAGGTTTTTGAGGTTCGTTGACTTTTAAACACTAACATTTGACTACTATTTTTTTTTATTATACTAAAAAATTTCTTATATTAGAGTTTTTTTTCTATCTACCACTTATTTCATTAATTACGAGATTAATTTTACTATCTAGTAACTATAGCAATTGATGCAATTTAACTAATTAATATTAATGAAATGATACTCTAGCTATTCTCTTGTAATTTAATTAAAGGGTTATCATACAAATAAGAAAAATAAGAATTTGTATGATTATGAATATTAGTGATTTCTTAAATTCTAATATATTGATAGAAAAAAATCATCCGTAATACTAGTTTTTAATTAATCATAACTCAACATTTTTTTATCAATCAATTAAATTAAATTAAATTACAAGATGAATGTATAACATATTTTGATGCATTAATTAAATAAAACATGATCATCCATAATAAAAATACATATCTTGAAAGATAATGGTTTCATTTAAACTAGGGATAATTACCAAAATATCTTCAAAAAAATCTTCTATCTAAAAAATTCACTATTTTATTTTTAAAATTTTCAAACAAAAAATAATATTTTTAAATATCACAATCCCAAAATAATATTTTTCTTACCAAAACAACCAATAGTTAACACTAGTATTAATTACTCGGGTGTTTTAGTAAGAAAAATATCATTTTGGGTTTGGGAGATTTAAACATAAATTTGTGGATTTTTTAGATAGAAGATTTTTTTATAAGGTTTTTCTAGTAATTATTCCTAATTTTTTTCACTTATTTTTTCTTTTTGTGTCTTAAAACAAAAAAATAAGTTAAATTAAAATGAAGCTAAAAAGGTTAAGTTAAAAAAATATATATAAGAATTAAATAATTGTTATAAAATAAATAGAAATGATAGGAGAATTGAAGAAAAAGATGACAAGAAAATGAAATTACTATAATGTGAATATGAGTGATAAGAAGTTCAAAGTTTCTCTTATTCTCTCTAGGAAACTTGTACACCAATTAATGAACAATCAAGTCTATTTATAGGCTTCAAAATTGAGGAGAGAATTGGAAGAGACTATGAATAATCAATTGCATCACCCTTTCAATTTCTTATATTTAATGATGAATTGAATCATATTAAGAATCCCGAGTAGTGGGGATATGAAAAGTGGATGAACATGATGATGGACATTCATTATTTCTTAACACTCCCCTTGAATGTCCATTGTACAAGGAACATGCCTCATTAAAACCTTACTAGGAAAAAACCCGAGTGGGAAAAAAATCCTAGTGAAGGAAAAAGAGTACAATATTCCTTGCACACATTAATCTCCATTTTGGTCTCCTCCTGTTGAAGGCATTATTTAAGATCTTTAAGACAATGCATTCCAATCTTATGAATCATCTTCTCAAAAGTTGTGGTAGGTAACACCTTAGTGAACAAATCTGCTGGATTGTCACTTTGATGTATTCTTCCTTTAATGAAACTATGCAAGCAGCATTATCCTCATATGATATTGTTGGAACTTTTTTTGCTAAAAGATAAATTGCATGTCTCTCGGATATGATGGATCGTTGATCTTAGCCAAACACATTCTTGACTTGCCTCATGAATTGATATTTCGCATGATTTGAAGATGTGGTAGCCGTAGTTTGCTTCATAAAACGCCAAGATATAGTTGTATCTCTATATATAAATATATAACTAGTTGTGATTGAGCTTCATGTAGATCGGATAAATAACCCGCATCCGCATAACCAATTAATCTTATCTTTGATTTATTGAAGTAATATAAGCCCATATCAATTATTCCTCAAAGATAATGTAGTATATATTTAACTTTATTTCAATGTCTCTATATTAAAACAAAACTATGACTTGCTAACAAATTTATAGAAAAGACTATATCAAGTCGAGTATTATTAGTAAGATATATCAATGCATTAATGGCACTAAAATATAGTACTTCGGGACCAAGTAATTCTTCGTTATCTTCTCGAGGTCAAAAAAGGATCTTTTTGGATATCAAGTGAATGAACTACCATTGGGCTAGTCAATGAATGATCTTTATATAGAATTATTGTAGAACCTTTTTCTATATAAATTGACTGATGAATGAAAATCTCATTCTCCGAGTGCTCGAACTGCGAGTCGAGATAACATTTTATTTTTTCAAGATATTCACATCAAATTCTCTTTTTAGGTAACTTATGACACTTGGAATCTCTTCGGGAGTTCCAATAATATTTAAATTATCAACATATACAACAAACCCTTTTTCAAATAAAAACATATGAACAAATAGGGTTATTTTTTTTATAACTTTCTTTCAACAAATAATCATTGAAGTGATTCTATCACATGCACACGGGTTAGTAATAAACAAGTAGATATAAAAATAAAATATAAAAAGTATAATATAAATTGAATTTCTAAAAACTAAAATAATAAAATAAATATTATAATCTTTGAATAAAATTTATTATTTTTCGTTATGTATGATAATTAAAGTGTTATTAGTTAACTGAAATACTTAGAATGAAAATAACATCATTTAAGTGTTTAAATTTTTTAAATTAAAATTAATTTAAAAAATAATTTATTTATTTATTTTAAATTTTTCTATTATATGGATCTATTACAAATTATTAATTATCTCATAATAAAAAGTCAGATTGATAAATAATAAAATTATCTAAACCATTTTTAAAACTAATTATTATTAAATATATATTTTTTTGTTCCAAGTTAATTTTAGTTCTAAAAAATAAAATTAAAACAACATCATTTTAAACGTTTTAGTTAAATAAATGGTTAATACTTTGATCGTAGAAATAATAGAAAAGAGAAAAATTTATTTAAAAAATAATAATTTGAGATTCAAATAGTATAAATTAATAGAATAAATCTTATTTTACTACAACTCTAATAGTTTGGAGATAAATTATACCATTAAGTATCATTAATGTTCATAAGTATCATTAGGTTGGTTATTATAATTCAAGTTTAGTGACCTAGACTAGATGAATATTACACAATTTCAAAGTATATCTAGTTTTATATATTTGGCATACGCATTCTTTGACAAAAGAACTTTTAATTTTTTTATCCAATCTAGCTAGCATCACCATTTTCAATGCACTAATACAAGCAATCTGGCTATTTAAATTGTCCAAATTTTAAATAATAATTGGTTGTCTCCCATTGAATTCAACTTCTGGGAGCTTCTGTTCAACTTAATTTTCAAATAAAAAGTGTCACCAACTGACCAACTTCTAAATGCTGGGCCACAAATGAAGACTCTAACTGATTTCATTGGGTTGGACCCTTTTATAAGCCTGGTTTTGCTTAATTGACGTTATTTTTTTCTTTTGCTTAAGCCGTGAAGCTAGGTAACTAAGACGGAATAAATTATTAGTCATTAATTTCTCTTATTTCAAAAATTAATTATTTAATTTTTATATTTTTAAATCTATTTATAACTTAATTATTTTTGTTTTTTTAATTATTTTTAATAAAAAAAACAAAAAATATGAGAATAAAAAAATATTTTATCAAATGAAAAAATTTATATTAAATTAAGTATGGTTAAAATTGAAGAAATAAATAAATAATAGTTTTTTGAAACGAGAAAAACTAATTAATTCACTTTTTGAAAGTAAAGGGATTAATTTATAATAAACTCAGCTAGGAATTTAAAACGTTCGGGAAAAAAAGGGGAATGATGTAATAATACATATTAAGTACAGAGGAGAATGGAAAGTTGGAACATTGAAATTAAACACACAGATGCAAGGAAGGGTAAACAAACACTATACCCTTATTTTTCAGAGTTCAGACCCTTGAAAGAAACACAGATGGGGAAACAAACACATGCCCTTATTTTCAGAGTTCAAACCCTTGAAAGAAGAAAAACAGATGGGCAAACAAACATGTGCCCTTATTTCTGGAGGTTCCCACAATAATCACTATACACACAACAATACTTACCTACTGGGTAAACAGACAAATCATACCCTTCTTTCTGAAAGCTCACACAGCACACACACACATGGGCAAGTGCATACCCCTTATTTGTTTTTTTGGAGTTCCATGGTAATCAAGACTTTCACAATGCCAAGCCAAACTGTATCCCACTGCAAATGGAACAATTAATTGATATTATTTCCACCAATTGAAAGTTGTGAGCAGGATCAGAACCATCTGATGCAAACATGAAGAAAGAAGAAATCAGAAATTCTGCTGCCATATTCAGTCATTAAGAGCTGAAAAAAAGTAAAACACTTGCAGCCATACCTATTGGGCAGCAATCAACTATTAGCCATACCTATGAGCAAACGTGAGTAATCATCCGATTCAGTGCCACATCCACCATATGTCGTCACCATCAAACACTTGTTCCTTCCACCCACCATTTCGAGTCCACATTTTGTAAGTGCTGCTTGGCATGGCACAACTACTGCTTGAAGCCTCAGCAACCTGAGATACCTGCAAACCAATTGAAGCATGACTTACATACTACAATTTGGTAAATCTTATTATTTAGCAAACCAAGAAACAAAAATTGTGACTGAAGATAGAAGAGATAGGCCAAAAATAAAATCAAAGAGCGGCACCTCTGATTGAGCACTCATTGAACCATTTTGTGTAAGAGTGAATTTTGTTTCCATCTTCGGACAATTTCCAAGCATAAACCTTTGTAGACGTGGGAATAAGAAATTTTTACATCCAAGGCCGAAACAGACGATGCTTGGTAAATTTTTTAGCGACAACTGCAGCAGATTAGGGACCACAATCTCTTTCTCAACATTGACATATGAGGCTTTATCATCATGTCCAAATACTTTCGTCAATTGAGGAGCGTCTCTTACTTTGAGATATTGTAGTTGTGGAAATCCTGCCGCGGTGATGACTGGAAAGAGACTCTTCAACTTGTTGCATTCTCTGACCTCAATTTCACACAAACTGGGGAAGCATAAAGATTGGAGATGAGTTTCTGACAATATCTCATCCTTGGCAAAGATTTCCTCCAATTCCTCACACCCTGATATCTTTAGAACTTTCAGTTGAAGCAGACTGGCAATCATGCTGGATGGGAATAAATGTCTCAGTCCCTTACAATTAACCACCTCTAAAGTAGTCAAATTCTGCAGCACGAGACCCCCTCTTCTATTAGTTACAAAACGTCTAACCTGCATTACCTCTTCTACTCCTTCACAATCTTTAATAATTAAATTTCTCAAATTTGTTAAGCCCTGCATCAAAAGAAAACAAGGGTACAATTTTGTTGGATTGAGTTCTTAGTGATTTTTGCATACTTTGAAACTAAAATTTTGGTAAACAGAAAGACATGAATAAATAGTGCATGTAACTGTGAGATATATTGCGTGTATTTTTTTTCCTAAGACGTCATGGGATATAAAGATTTCCCATTATGCTACAGGAAACCACCCTCTTGTATATATGCTTAAATGAAATGCCGAATCTTGGATTCCAATATATACACACACTTCGTTTTATCAAATGGGTTTTTTCCAATCAAGTGGACAATATTAATAAAAGCACATCACCAGATCTGATCTAACCAATACAAAGATTTGATTTTTATTATCTGTTTATAATTAATCATAATTATCCATTAGTAGTTTAGGTTTGGATTAATTTAATTTAAAAAATAATTTAATCATATTTTCATACTGATTTAATTTGAAAAATATAAATATAATTTTAATTAATGTAAAAACTGACATCAACATACTTCATATGTATATATATATATATAAGCATAAAGTTTTTTTTTGTCTCGAATTTGGGTTGATTAATGGTTGAGCATATCGATCCATCATTATGTGGGAGATGATTAAAGAGAAAACTTTAACTATGATAAGCGTAGCAACCACAAAATATTCAAACAATGATTTGCACTGCCTTATATTATCAATTACTAGCAAAAACCCCTGTACAAAAGGCTATCATTCTTCCTTTTTCTTTTTTATGTTTAACGTATCCTTCTAGTTTTCCATAATTATGATAGGACAAAAGTAGGAAAAGCATTTATCCCCTCTTATCCATTATTTCAATTCTAGATAATTTAGATGAAGAAAGAAAAAATTTACCATAATGTAATGATGTTGTAATGAAATTAAATATTAAAATTGTACTTCTAAAAGAAAAAAAATACTGGTGAAAGATTAAAGAACGCACCAGCAGCTTTGCCAACAAATTACCCAGTTGGTTGTGGCCCTCAATTTGTAGATCTTGCAAAGAAGGCAATTCGGCAGCAAAATTGTTTGAACTAAAGAGGTTGAGATTTGATCCGGACCTACAAAGCTTCAACTTTCTCAGTTGAGGAAACTCGATGATGCCACCTTCGTCTGTTATGAATACATCTTCTCCTTCTCCACTGCCAAATATTTTCTTTAATTTGTCGGCATCTGCATGACTTGGAGCCACAGACACAGGAAAGACATATTCCAGTTCACCACAATCTTCTATCTGAAGTGTTTCTAGTTGTGGTAGACTCTGAGCCAGGGACGGTGTGAAGATAAATTTGAGTTGGCAGAGACGCCTCAATGTCAGATGAATAAGACTTTGGAGGCTTACATGTCGGGTAGGCCCCTTCCATATACACTGCAGAGTAGGTAACTCTTCCAATACTAACTCCGTTAAAGATGACAGCAGCAGCACCTTCTCCTCATCGCTTACTTGATCAACCTCACCCAATTCAAATACCTCTTCCAATTTGTCGCAACCATCAATTCTCACGGTCCTTAGATTTTTCAAAGGTCGCCATGATTTTTCTGGAAACAGAGTACTCAAATCACCACAATACCTTACGTTAACAAATTCTAATCTCTGGAACAACATTAAATTTTTCAAACCAGACACTAGATCCAACTCAAGTTGATATACAGTACTGAACAACTCCTCAAATGTCTTTGCATTTAAGGATATGGCGTTGATACAACGGAAAGCCAATCTTCTGGAGGTTGAGTAACTTGTTCGTTTCGTTGGAAGCATCTTCAAAGACATGGAAGACCTCTCGACTCCGAATACTATTTCATATTTAAGCAACTTGGGGAAAACAAAATCTCTGGGAATGTGTTCGATCTCTGGTATACTCAACGATAATACAGAAAGATGAGACAATGAATTTAGTTCTGTTAGGCTTGCATTCATTCCTCCTCTGATTGTCCCACCAACACCCCATTTCTTAAAGCTGTCATCCCCAATCAACAGTTCTTCTAACTGCTTCAACCTTCCAATCAAATTCACAGGAATCCTTATTAGCCTCCGACAACCTCTCAAATCCAACAACCTTAAGTTCTCAAGCTCTCCTATTTCTTCAGGCAATTCTTCAATCGAGGAGCAGCACAGAAAATCAAGAATCTTAAGTCTTAGCAGCTTTCTCAACGAAATGAGGTCCTTGCATTCACACTTAATAAACTGCAGGGATTGAAGGTTCGTTGAGCATTCAAGTGATTTCATTGACAACCGCCCTCCCTTTAGAGACAAAACTTCCAATGCTTTCATCCCTTCAAAAAACTTACATGGAACATCCATGCTATCGTCCAATTCTAATAACAAAACTTTGAGCTGTGGACATACCAATCCTTCAGGAAGTTCTGTCAGTCTATTGCCCATTAACGAAATAGTTGTGCAATCTTCAAAGCTTCCAAAACTCCTTGGCCACTTCTCTAACCCAATGCCAGCCTTTACTACGAAACCAAATTCTTTTGATGATGCTATTTGAACAGCAACATCACGAACCAAGTCATGCATTTTCGCATTTTCTTCGCTTTCAGTGCCCAACAGCAGACAACAATCTTTGAGGTTTTCGACAGCCACACACACTTGTTTCCTTACATCTTCAATGGACTCTGCATCTTGATGTAGCCCATAGCCAACTGCAAATCTCACAAAGTCCTCAATTGGAACGTCGTAATCTTCTGGAAATAAACAACATAGCAAGAAACATAACTTGGTTTCCTTGTGCTTCAAATAATCGTAACTCAACTTAAGACATGCATATGCGTTGTTTTGTTCGTCAACCTGTTCCATGTGCAGAAATTTAGAGTTTTTGAGCTGTTTAAATGCTACTTCCCACTGAACTTCAGATGTATCTCTTAGAGCCCTTCCCACTGTCACGAGTGCTATAGGCAAGCCTTTGCATTCTCTCGCAACCTCCTTTGCCACTTTGTTCAATGCAAAGCCCTCATCACGTAAACCTGCATTCCTTTTGAATAAAGCCCATGCTTCATTTTCAGATAAGAATCCTAAAAACACCTTTCGCTGGCACTCCATAGAAGAACATACGCTTTTAAGACGTGTTGTTAGAAGAATTTTACAACCCCTGTAAGCAGCTCCAAATGGGATCCCTATCTTTTGCAAGTCAATATGTGTCCAAACATCATCTAGGATGATAAGCATCGTCTCCTCGTTCTGTAATCTTTGCCATAGTCGATCTGCTCTCCCTTTTATACTCCTTTGCTCAAACTTCAGCCCTAGACTATCTGCCAGTTCATCCTGAATGTTGGTGACATTTGGATTCTGGGACACCACAGCCATTAAAACTGGACCAAAAAGCTGCGACTCTTTGGCTCTCCTGCCTACTTCTTTCACCATTGTGGTTTTACCCACCCCTCCCATTCCGTACAGTCCGATCATATTGACTTTGTCATCATTGAGCGCTTCCATTATCTGTTTGAAAGCATCTGTTGACGATTTTGAAGGTGTAAAATCCTTATTTGGAAGAAATTCTATATCTTGAAGAGGAGCTTTGTGAGACACTGTTGGAAACTTTTTGCTTTTTTCTTCTAGTTTACTCAACGTCTCTATCTTCTTTGCCAATGCCTTGCTTAGCTTGTATCGGGGCATCCAATTTGGACACCATGTAAAGCATTTGCCATTATTTCCTATTTGTTCATCGAAATGCTTGGCATCTTCAATTTCGTTGTTTGCATCTTCCAGCCACTTATTGACGTCTTTCTCGATTTCTTCAGCATTCCATTCAGCAACTCTGACAGCATTTTGCAGACGATCTTGTTCCAAAGTCAGGTTCTGCTTTTGTTCATTGAATTCTTGAACAAAATTGTTGAAACAGAACATATAACGTAACTGCCTTATTGCTGGTTCCGCCAAGAACTCTGCTATCTTAGACATAATGGATTCCCCAACACTTTCGATAGCCATTTTCCACCAGTCTGAAATAAGGATACCAACTTGAGAACGAGTCATTACAATTTAAATAGGCAATGAGAGAATTGGAATAGGAATTTTTAGTACCTTACTTTGTGAAAATACTTGCGACAAGTAAAAGGAACCGGTACTGGCTGACCAATAATGCCTTTAGCTCGGTATGGAATCCATCTTCAAAAGCAATAAGACAAGGTATAAGTATACCAATAATCAATTAATATATATCTCCTTATATTAACTTTTATTTATTGGGAAAAAAATTAATTTTAAATTCCCATATGATTGTCTTGTCAATCAAAACGCCCTGTTATTCACAAGTAGAAATAAAAAAACAAAAGGTATAAATTAAATGGTATCAATCAAAATGACATATAATTCAAAGGTGTTTGTCAGGTCTCTAGAAAAAATAACTTTTGTTTCGCTTCCTTCTTACAAACAATTCTTCGAGATTATTTATTTATTTATTTATTTGTGATAATTGAAATTTTATTGAAAGATCAGCCAAAAAAGAGAGCTCAGCCATTAAAAAAAGAACTTCCAATTAAAAAGATTATTTTAAACAGAGAGGCTATATAAATATAGTATGAAATAGCACGGTGATGATTACTTCAAATCGAAAAATGTTCTAAAAAAAAAGAAAAAAAGAAGAAAGAAACTCTTATATATTTGGAAGGGATTGTAAAGATTGATATTGCAGTGAATATGTGACATTAAAGGGAAAAAAATGTGTAAGGACTTGATCATAAATAAATTTTAATCATTTTCATACATTTTATAATTAAAATTCATTTAAGGATCACATTTCCTATCAAAAAACTTGAAGCATTTTTGTGGATATGGTAAATATAACGATCCTTATGTCTTTGGAAAATACCGGTAAAAAAAAAATTAAAATGACATCTCTAGATTCTAATAAAGAAGAAGGAATTAAGACAGAGGCTACAGGTTTGATACAGTACAAGATATTATTGAATACGTTATTAACAAAGACAACATTCATAAATAAATGGAGTTTTAAATTTTACAGTATATAAGTACACTTTTTAAATGTTATGTGAGATTTGAAATAAGAGTTAATTGCCCTCTCACCCTATCTCTATTCTAGGTGTCATTACACTTACCACCTATTAAAAATCTGTGAGATGATTTTTAAAACTTGAGTTATTTTTTATCAAAATACTATAAAATAACCAAATAACTCCCGAAAAGATAATGATTGTCTAGAATAGACAAGCAAAATGTTTTTTAGTATTAAAAACATAGTCCAAAAAATCATTCATTTCACTCAACTGCATTTGCGGTATTAGTTAATTGCCTATATCTTTATTTATTTTTTATCTTTAATTATTTTTTATAACCTTTTTTTATATTGAATCTATTTCAACTTGATTTTTAATTAAGGCATTTGTTTTATATAAAAAAAATTACACAAAAAGCACGTAACATGATTTTTTTTAAAAAAAATATTTGATAAATAATGATGTGAAAAATGCAGCTATAGCATAATGATGATGATGATGATATATAATGATGATGAGGCAATGGTGATGATAATAATTGTAGTTGTAGTAGTAGTAGTGAAAGTGACGAGGATAGTAGAGGCGGAGGTGAAGGAGTTGGTGGGGATGGAGTAGTAGTGGTGATGATAGCAACAAGTTTATGATGACGGAGTGATAGTTATTGTGGTAATGAAGTGTGTAAATGATGGTGGAAATAGTTGTATGATATTATGGATGAATTATTATCCATAAAATATTTTATAAAATTTCATGAGTTTAAAATATTTCTTAACTAATAACCTATGTTTAAATATTGATTGTAAAATATTTATGTTAAATGGTTTTCTTATAATATATTTTCACAAAACAAACACCCTAAGTTACACAAATTTTGAAGTATTTATTTTAATATATAAGTTCTACGCAATTTATTGTTTGGTATTTGATACTTATCTTCTTTTTCTTTTCTCAAAAGTAAGAGTTATTTTTTTAATTAGGTTTTGCATCAATGGAGACTAAGATTTCTTTTTAAATTATCTTAAGGATGCACCCCTTATAATGTCTTGATGCATTTAAAAAATAATAATAATAATTTTAAATTCTTGTAATGTTGTTAATATGACGTAGAATCATTGTCTTGCCAATCAAAATGCCTTGTTATTCACCAATAAAAAAAATGTATAAATTAAGGGGTATCAATCAAAATGACATATAATTCAAGAGGTGTTTGTCAGGTCTCTAGAAAAAATAACTTTTGTTTTGCTTCCTTCTTACAAACAGTTGTTCGAGATTATTTATTTATTTATTTGTGATAATTGAAATTTTATTGAAAGATCAGCCTAAAAAGGGAGCTCAGCCATTAAAGAAAGAACTTCAAATTAAAAGGATTATTTTGAAGAGAGAGACTATATAAATATAGTATGAAATAGCACGGTGATGATTACTTCAAATCGAAAAATGTTCTTAAAAAAAAAAGAAAAAAAGAAGAAAGAAACTCTTATATATTTGGAAGGGATTGTAAAGATTGATATTGCATTGAATAGGTGACAGTAAAGAAAAAAATGTGTAGGGACTTGATCATAAATATATTTTAATCATTTTCATACATTTGATAATTAAAATTCATTTGAGGATCACATTTCCGATCAAACAACTTAAAGCATTTTAGTGGATGTGGTAAATATATCGATCCTTATGTCATTGGAAAATACCTGTAAGAAAAAGAAAAAAAAATACGACATCTCTAGATTCTAATAAAGAAGAAGGAATTAAGACAGAGAATACAGGTTTGATACAGTACAAGATATTCTTGAATACTTTATTAACAAAGATAAACATTCATAAATAAATGGAATTTTGAATTTTACATCATATAAGTAAACTTTTTAAATGTTGAGATTTGAAATAAGAATTAATTGCCCCGATCACCTTAGCTCTATTTTGGGTGTCATTACACTTTACGTTATGTATTTTGAAAACTTTTTAAATCTTTTTCACCTTCTATCTTTCTTATGATTGATTGCACTTCTCGCCTTTTATTAAAAATCTGGATGATGATTTTTTTATCAAAATACTATAAAGTGACCAAATAACTCATGAAAAGATAATGAATGCCTAAAATAGACCAGCAAAATGTTTATTTATTATTAAAAAAAATAGTTCAAAAAATCATTCATTTCACTCAACTGCATTTCATTTAAATATTAGGTAATTAATTGCCTCTATCTTTATTTATTTTTTGATCTTTAATTAATTTTTTATAACTTTTTATATATTGAATCTGTTTCAACTTAATTTGTAATTAAGGCATTTTTTTTTAGTAAAAAAAATTTACATGAAAAGCATGTAACATGATTTTTTTTTTTTTTACAATGTTTGATAAATAATGATGTGAAAAATACAACTATAGCATGATGATTATGATGTGTAGGGGGTAATGAGGCAGTGGTTATGGTGGTAATTGTAATTGTAGTAATGGTAGTGATGGAAGTGATGAGAGTAAGAGTGAGGTGAAGTGAAGGAGGTGGTGGGGATGGAGTTGTAGTGGCAGTGATAGCAATAAGTTGATGACAGTGGAGTGATGGTGGTTGTGATGATCAGTTGTGTTGTGTTAACGATGGTGAAAATAGTTGTATGATATTATGGATGAATTATTATCCATAAAATATTTTATAAAATTTCATGAGTTTAATTTTTTTTTTAACAAATAAACTATGTTTAAAGATTGATTATAAAATATTTACAATAAATAGTTTTCTTATAATATATTTTCCCAAAAAAACACCCTAATTTACACAAATTTTGAAGTATTTATGTTAATATATAAGTTATATGCATTTTATTGTTTGGTATTTGATACTTATCGTTTTTTCTTTTTTCAAAAGTAAGAGATATTTTTTGAATTAGGTTTTGCATAAATGGAGACTAAGACTTCTTTTTAAATTATCTTAAGGGTGCAGCACCCCTTATAATGTCTTGACGCATTTAAAAAAGAAAGAAAATTCTTCAACATGCTAACTCGAAGATAGGAACTCAAGAAGTCAATGGAGACAGTGGACTTGCTTCACCGCAGGCCAACCAATATTTTAGAATCTCAACATTTTTTGTGTAACAATTTATAATTTCTCACTTTTTTGTTTTTAATTCTTCTTCTTTTGTTTTTCTCACCTACAGAAGTAATTGAAGACTTTTTGGTATTACTCCAATCATTTTCTTGACCTCCACCAATACAACTATCTTAAGGTTTCATTTCATGTTGGCTAAACATTGAATGGAGCTTTTGAAAGAGTACTATTACCCAATTTTTCAAAACCGATATAACTTTATTGATACAAAATATAACACATTATAAACCTACTGAATATATCTATTATTGCAATCTTTTAACGAAATGATTTTATATTAAAAAAGGAAATTAAAACTTAATAACTTAGATGTATTCAAATTAACATTACAAATCCTTGCAAGTTAAAGAAGCAATTCTCATAATATGCAATTCCTTGACATAAAAATTAAGGTAATATGCTTATTATAAAGACAGTAATAGATAAATAAAAGAACAATTTTTACAAGCACTTACCTAAATGATCCTGAATAGAGGGTTTTCGATCACTTGGACGCTAGCACAGATGATACCAGCTCTGTATCACTTCCAACAACAAATATAATTAAATCTAAGCTCTGCTTGGTGGTTTTTTTTTTATTTTTTTATTTTTTTTTTATTTTTTATGATGAATATGGGGAAAAAAGAAAAGACTCGAAAAGAAGCACAATTAATGGAATGAAGGAACAAACTGAAGCAGCTAAAAGTAATTGTCTAAGACTATCCCTGTGTCACACACTCAATGAATGTGATGTACCCATCAAGACAAAAGAGAGGTTCCTTACTTCAAGTTGGATTTACCTTCAATTTTTTTCCTTCTAAGCACTAGGCTAAAGGCTTTATGGCACGTAAGAAATCAGCCGTGCAAAACCAGTTATGCAATTGTTTTTAAAAATAAATAAATAAGTTCCAGTTTGAGGAGGATAACTTCTGTCTTGTGCCTACCCAAAAAAAAAAAAAAAAAAACATTATTTCAAATTTTATTGAATTAGTTTTGAATTGGATTAAAGAAAAAGATATTAGGGTGCGTTTTGTATTCTGAACAAATTATTTTATTTTAGAACAATTCATTAAAATATTTCCTTTTTTTTTTTTTTTTTTTTAATGGTCAGGACTCTTGTGCTATCTTTGATGTATTGTTACAAAATCCGACTCTCTAGTCTGCATCAACAAGGGAATCCATAAAAATTTTATTTCTCACATGACATAAAAAAATATTATTTCTCATAAATTAAGCCTAGCAATTATTTACCCAATAATTTTATCTAATGAAGGGATCACTCTACTTTTGTCAATTATTAAGTAATGGGAAGGTGTATCTTAATTTATTCCTTACCCCATGAATATCTTTAGACTTTCCAATAAAACAAAGAAAAAGAAAAGTTACGAGTGATATGAAACGAAAAGGAATGATAGTATCAAAATCCAATTATGGTGGTAATATTAAATCCAAGCAGCCTAGATGGAATTCATTTTCATTTTAGAAGAAGACAAGGCCTTGACATCAGCACCCAAATAAATATTAGCTAGCAAGATCAAAATCTTAATTTAATTATATCTCTTATTAGAAAAATTTTATTTTTTTTCTAATTAAACAATAAAATGCCAACATAATTTCAATAATGGGTATTTGATCAGTATTCATAATTATATGAATAGATTGAGTGATTTTTTTTTTTTTTTTTTTTAGCAGAGTCTAGTACAAGAAAATGGGAACTAAATAAAACAAAATTTCACTTTCGTTTTTCATGGATTATGCCTGCAAAGTTCATGCATTAACAACACATAATATATACTAAGGCAATATGCTTGATAAAATGACAATAATAAATAAAATAATAATTAGTAGAAGCACACACCTTATAGCAGAGACAAAAACGAATGACTATGAATAAAAGAAAGTTTACGACTACTTGAACGCTCCCAAAGATGATACCACCTACCTATCGATAGCTTCCAACCACAAATATAATTAAGCTGAGTTATGATACAACTTTAGCTATGGTCTCTAGATTTTTTTTTTTTTTTTTTTTTTTTTGTGTTTTGTTTTTTTAATGATGATCAGAGGGGGAAAAAAGAGAGAGAGAGAGAAGAAAATACTTGAAATGGAAAAAATAATAATTGAATGAAAAACTCTCTTTGCTTTGGGGTTTTTTGTTTTTTGTTTTTTTTTTTTTTTGGTGTGTTTTTTTTTTATAAATAATGATCAGAGAAAAAAGAGAGAAGAAAAGACTTGAAAGTAGAAAACAATTAATTGAATGAAAGAGCCAGCTCTCTGCCATTTCGAAGGATCAAACTCGAGCTAGCATCTAAAAGTAATTTGCCTAGCTGTGACTATCCCTATATCACACTCAAGGCATATGATTTATCCATAAAGGAAAAAGAAATATTCCTTGCTTCAAATTTGATTTACCCGTGAAGGCTAGCTAAATAGAGATACCTTATTTCTTCTTTATTATTATTACTATGATTATTATTTTGCATGCACTTAGGAAATGGCTGATTAAATTATAAACTAGTCCTTCGAGGTTTGTAAAATAAATTAAATAGTCTCTCTCATTTTAAAAACTAATTAATTAGTCCCTTCATCAATAGTGACTGTTTATTTTAATATTAAATTATTCCAAAAATTATATTTTTTTCCATATTGTCAACTCTTTTTTTTCTTAAAAGAAATTAGAAAAAACATGAAATGGAGGAAAAAAATAATTAAATTACAAATATATCTGAAAAAATGGGAATTAATTAATTAGTTTTTAAAACTAGAAGGACTGTTTAATTTGTTTGGTAAAATATATGTCTTAAAAAAAATGCCAAAATAAGTTAGATAAGAACATGAAATAGACTAGAATTAAGTTATAAATATATTTCAAAACATAAGATGTAATTAATTAATTTTTGAAACTTAAAGGACTATTTAATTTGTTTTGTAAAACAGAAAGACTAATTTATAATTTACTCCTAATGGTTTCATGTTTAACCGGAAAAATTACCTGCATCATGTACAAAACCAATTTAAGGCACATAAGAAATCAACAATTGAACCAGACATGCATTTATTTATTTATTTATTACTTTTTAAGGAAAAAAATGCAGCTTAAGGAGAATACCTATATTGCCTACGGTATGCTGGCGGCATTTGGTAATTGGGCTGGCTATAGTTTCTGACTCGTTCGGCTTCCCTTTGACAGCATTTTACAGACGATCTAGTGCCAAAGTCAGGTTCTCCTTTTGTTCATTGAATTCTTGAACAAAATTGTTGAAACAGAACATATAACGGAATTGCCTTATTGTTGGTTCCACCAAGAGTTCTGTTATCTTATATATAATGGATCCACCAACACTTTTGATAGCCATTTTGTGAAATTCTTTGCGACAAGAAAAAGGCAACGTTATTGAGAAAGGCAACGTTATTGATTGACCGATAAGATATGGCTACGAACAAAACAAAAAGGCCTTTAGCTCGGTATGGAATTCATCTTCAAAAGCAATAAGGCAATTGGGTTATAACTTAAGTTTACCAATAATCAATTAAAACACCCTATTATCTACGGGTAGAAATATAATAATAATAATAATAATAATTCAATGGGTATTAATCAAACTGGAAAGACACATTCCAGTTTCCCACAATTGCATATGAAGAGTGTTTTTAATTTTGGGAAGCACATAGAGTCTGGAATTATTCCCCCTCACCATAATCACCCTTATTTGTGATAATATGCTCCAATTCACTGCAATCTATCATCTTAAGTGTTTCTAGTTGTGTTAGACTCTGAGCCAGGGACGGTGTGAAGATAAATTTGAGTTTGAAGAGAGAACCATATTATATTTTCTAAGCCTTTCACACACTTCAAATCAAATTGAGATACACTAGGGAACAACTGCTCAAATGTCTTTGCATTTAGGGATGTGGCGCTGATAGAAGCGAAAGCCAATCTTGTCGAGGTTGGTACCTTGAAATTCTATCATCTCCTACTACTATTTCATATTTAAGCAACTTGGGGAAAACAAAATCTTTGAGAATGTATTTGGTCTCTGGTATCCTCAACGATAATACAGAAAGATGAGACAATGAAATTTAGTTCTGTTAGGTTTGCATTCATTCCTCCTCTACTTGTCCCACCAACACCCCATTCGCCAAAGCTATCAGACCCAATCAACAGTTCTTCTAACTTCTTCAACCTTCCAATCAAATCCACAGGAATCCGAATTAGAATCGTACTTGTCAAATCCAACAACCTTAAGCTCTTGAGCTTTTCTATTTCCTCAGGTAGTGCTTTAATTGAGTAGCACTTCCGAGAACCAAGAATCTTAAGTCTTTGCAGCTCTCTCAACGAAATGAAGTCTTTGCATTCACACTCAATAAACTCCAGGGGTTAAAGTTTCGTTGAGCATTTAAGTGATTTCAGTGACAATCACCCCCCCCTTCCCTTTAGAGACAAAACTTCCATTGCTTTCATCCCTTCAAAAAACTTACATGGAACATCCACGTTATCATCCAAGTCTAATAACAAAACTTTGAGCAGTGGACATACCAATCCTTCATGAAGTTCTGTCAGTCTATTGCCAGTCTATTGCCAATTAGCGAAATAGCTATGCAATCTTCAAAGCTTTCAAAACTCCCTAGCAACTCCTTTAACCCAGTGCCAGCCTTTACTACGAAATCAAATACTTTTGATGATGATGCTATTTGAATAGCAACATCACGAACCAAGTCATGCATTTTCACATATTCTTTAATTTCAGTGTCCAACAGCATATAACAATCTTTGAGGTTTTCGACAGCCGCATGCACTTGTTTCCTTGCATCTTCATTGGACCCCACATGTTGATGTAGCCCATAGCCAATGGCATATCTCATCAAGCCCTCACTCAGAATGTGGCTATCTTTTGGAAATAAACAACATAGCAAAAAACATAACTTGGTTTCCTTGTGCTTTAAATAATCATAACTCAACTTAAGACACGCATATGCATTTTTTTGTTCGTCAACTTGTTCCATCAGCAATTGAGAGTTTTTGAGCCGTTTATATGCTGCTTCCCACTGAACTTTAGATTTATCTCTGAGAGCCCTTCCCACCGTCACGAGTGCTATAGGCAAGCCTTTGCATTCTCTCGCAACCACTTTTGCTACTTTGTACAATGCAGAGTCATCATAAGCCGCAGATCATCTAGGATGATAAGCATCGTCTTCTCTTTCTGTAATCTTTGCCATAGTTGTTTTGCTCTCCCTTCTATAGTTCTTGGCTCAAACTTCAGAGCCAGACTATCAGCCATTTGATCCTGAATGTTTATGAGATTTGGATTCTAGGACATTGCTACCATCAAAACTTGATCAAAAAGCTGCAACTCTTCTCTCCTGCCTGCTTCTTTCACCAGGGTGGTTTTACCCACCCTCCCATTCCGTACAGTCTGATCATATTGACGTTGTCGCCTTTGAGTGGTTCCATTATCTGTTTGAAGGCTTCTTTTGACAATTCTGAAAGTGTAAAATCCTTGGTTGGAAGGAATTCTATATATTGAAGAGGAGCTATGTGGGACACCATTGGAAGATTTTTGCTTTCCTCTTCGAGTTTACGGAAAGTCTCTCTCTTCTCTGCCAATTATGCCTTGTTTAGCTTGTATTGTGGTATACAATACGGATGCCAAGTAAAGCATTTGCCATTTTTTACTATTTCATCTTCGAAATGCTTCACATCTTCAATTTCTTTGTTTGCATCTTCTAGCCACTGGTTGACATCTTTCTCATTCCTTCAGCATTCCTTTCAGCAACTTTGACAGCATTTTACAGACGATCTAGTGCCAAAGTCAGGTTCTCCTTTTGTTCATTGAATTCTTGAACAAAATTGTTGACACAGAACATATAACGGAATTGCCTTATTGTTGGTTCCACCAAGAGTTCTGTTATCTTATATATAATGGATCCACCAATACTTTTGATAGCCATTTTGTGAAATTCTTTGAGACAAGCAAAAGGCAACGTTATTGATTGGCCGATAAGATATAGCTACGAACAAAACAAAAAGGCCTTTAGCTCGGTATTGAATTCATCTTCAAAAGCAATAAGGCAATTGGGTTATAACTTAAGTTTACCAATAATCAATTAAAACACCCTATTATCTACGGGTAGAAATATAATAATAATAATTCAATGGGTATTAATCAAAATGGCATTATGATTCAAGAGGTATTTGTCAGGTCATTTAGAAAAAGTAACTTTTATTTCACTTCTTTCTCACAAGCAGTTTTTTGAGAGTTTTCCTTTGATGTCTTTATATAATCCTAAAATGCATGGAAGTTTGAGTCAGCATACTTTCAATGAGCTTCTTGGAATGTTTTTGAAAACTGAAAGTGATAATCGAATATAACGTTTGCAATTATGTTTTTGAATGGTTCATTAATCATGTTATGTAGACATAAAGAATTTTAAAGCAATAATGGTTCAATACAAAGATTTTTTTTCCTAAAAAACTGTCACTGTAAAAATTAACATCCTAAACAATATAAAGAATGATTATCATAGTGATGAAAATAATGCTTTCTAAGGTTTTGGTAAGAAATATAGAATGGGAATTATTTCTAATAATAATAATAAAAAAAACCTTATATTCATGATTTTGAATGAAAGAAAATGTTATTGGTGTTGGGAATAAAACATTGACCTTATTTAACTGTGTATTGACATTATGATAGAACGTTTGGATCAAATATTTGAATAGTGTGAAAAGTTTGATGTCAATGTTTAATGTTGACTTTTTAATTCAATTCTATTATGAAGTTTTGGCATGTATTTGTTTTTTATCATGACATGGCATGGTATGTTTTGCATGAGCTTGTGTTTTCGAATTAAAATGCTGCTTAATTATAACTTTGAGATGATTATATAATTGTTTATCAAGTTTTAAATTATTTGAAGAAAAAAATTATATTGGGAATCAAGTGGATGATTTGCAAATTTTAGTGTTCAGTTTGAAGGTAAGATTTAACATGATTGATATATCTATGTTATTTAAGATAAGGTTTAGCTTAATTTCTCTTTTTCTTTTTCACTCTTTATAATTTCTTGATTACATTGGTAGTGTTTTTTCATTATTATCTTTTATTGTTGCTATAACGTTACAATTATTATTATTATGCTATTTGAATGTTTTTTATTATGTTTTTAGAATTTTTATACTCTCCAATCTGATAAAATAATTTTTTTTTTTTTATAAAAAAAACTCTTATTTTAGAGGAAGTTTGCATGTCAAAGAAACATTTATCCTGGAATAGAACTATAAGCAAAATGCTACCAGCAAAGAGCACATGGACCTAAGCAATACAATAATAATACATACAATTAAGTACTTATGTTCTGGTGTTTCCTTAATTCGAAAAGTGATAAAATATCTTACTATTTGTAAACATAAAACAAAAATACAAATACAGACAAGTAATTCGAGTTAAAAGTATTTTTTTAGTACAGAGGAGAATGGAAGTTCGAAGTTGAAATTAAACAAACAGATGCAAGGGTAAACAAACATTATACCCTTATTTTTCAGAGCTCAAACACTTGAAAGAAACAAAGAGCATGAGTTGAAGATCAGAAGAGTTCAGGCTCCAGATTAATCATTTACATATAAACTATAAATTCATTGAAGATAATTCATCTCTATTTTAAAGGTGGAATGGTACTGGAATTAAATCCTTGTCATTTTTAAAGAAAACAAAACGTTTTCATGGAATATTTTATACTGTAAAATTTGTTTTTAAAGGATGATAATTACTTACCGGAATTGTTTTCTTGCAAAGCTCGATCCTTCAAAAGCCACAGATTATCTTTCTCCAGAGAACAAGCTAACCAATCTAAAGACCCATAATTAGCAAGCCAGGATCCCTTCCTTTTTCAGTTTTTTTTTAAAAAAAAAAAAAAAGAAAAAAGAAAACACTAGTTCTGATGGCAATAAGTGATTTAATTCGAAAGCATGAACACCATAGGTAAACTGACTGCAGAAGAGAGGTTTCGGAAAAGAGAGGAGACTAGAGAGAGCAGAAGAGGAGACAGAAGTCAATAATAATAATAATGCATAATAAAAAAACAATTCAGCACACTGCCAACCATTTTTTTCTTTTTTAATTGGATAAAGGTTGAGTGACATCCTTTTTTATCATCAAAATTATGAAGAGCAAAATACAGATGATTTTTTTATCCTTTAATGTATGAAAAGCCATGGTATATTGGCATTATTCTCTTTAAAGTAGACCTTTGTCATGCTTCTTTTCCTTATCAATAAATCCTTTAATGAAAATAAAAAATTAAAGTCCATTTGAACTTTTGAAAAAGAAGGAAAAAGAAAGATTATAAAAAAAAAAAAAAAAAATAGAAGGGAACTTTTCTTTGGGCGGGAGACAGAAAATACACAAATTGTCCCACCAAATATGTCTGTTCTTAAAAGCGATAACTCCAAAATATTCATCAATATACAATATCAAAACATATGCTTCAATTCACTACAACCTATTATATTCACTACAACCTATTATCTCAAGTGTTTCTAGCTGTTGTAGACTTTGATCCACCGACTTTGTGATTGAGTTTGAAGAGATTCCACAATTTCAGATAAGTAAATCTTTGGAGGTTTGCCTGTCGGGTAGGCCCCTTCCATATACACTTAGATAAGGATACCTTCTCCTCATCGCTTACTTCCTCAACCGCAACCAATTCAAATACCTCTTCCAATTTACAGCAGCCATAAATTCTCACGCTCCTTAGATTTTTCAAAGCTCGCCATGATTTTTCTGAAAACAAAGTACCCAAATCACCACAATCCATTACCTCAACAAATTCTAATCTCTGGAACAACATTAAATTTTTCAAACCAGACACTTGATTCAACTCAAGTTGAGATACAGTACTGAACAACTCCTCAAATGTCTTTGCATTTAAGGATATGGTGTTGATATAACGGAAAGCCAATCTTCTGGAGGTTGGTTAACTTGTTCGTTGCGTTGAAAACATCTTAAAAAACATTGAAGACCTTTTGACTCCGAATACTAATTCATATTTAAGTAACTTCGGGAAAACAAAATCTCTGGGAATGTATTTGGTCTCTGGTATCCTCAACAACAATACAGAAAGACGAGACAATGAATTTAGTTCTTTTATGCTTGTATTCATTCCTTTCGTGCTTGTCCCACCAACCCCTCATTCCTTAAAGCTTTCGTTCCCAATCAACAGTTCTTCTAACTTCTTCAACCTTCCAATCAAATTCACTCGAATCCTTTCGAGCCGCCTACAACCTGTCAAATCCAACAACCTTAAGTTCTCGAGCTCTCCTATTGCTTCAGGCAATTCTTCAATCGACAAGCACTTCAGAAAACCAAGAATCTTAAGTCTTTGCAGCTTTCTCAACGAAATGAGGCCCATGCATTCACACTCAATGAACTGCTGGGATTGAAGGTTTGTTGAGCATTGAAGTGATTCCAATGACAAACACCCTCCCTTTAGAAACAAAACTCCCTATGTTTTCATCCCTTCAAAAAACTTAAACGGAACATCCACGTGGTATGCCAATTGTAATAACAAAACTTTGAGCCGTGGACATACCAATCCTTCATGTGTTCTGTTAGTCTATTGCGCATTAACAAAATAATTGTACAGAACTTTGCTAAGCAATGCTATCCATCTTTTTTCACCATGTTGGTTTTATCCACCCCTCCCATTCAGTACAGTCCGATCATATTGACTTTGTCATCTTTGAGCGCTTCTATTATCCGTTTGAAAGCTTCTTTTGACGATTCTGAAGGTGTCAGATCCTTGTTTGGAAGAAATTCTATATCTTGAAGAGGAGCTTTGTGAGACACTATTAGAAACTTTTTGCTTTTCTCTTCAACTATAATCAACGGCTCTATATTCTTTACCAATACCTTGCTTGTATCGCGGAATCCAATTTGGACACCAAGTAAAATATTTCCTTTTTTTTCCTATTTATTCATCAAGTAAAATGCTTCAAATCTGCCATTTCGTTGTTTGCATCTTCGAGCTGCTTGTTGACATCTTTCTCGATTTCTTCAGCATTCCTTTCAGCATTTTGCAGACGATCGTGCGCCAAAGTCAGGTTCTGCTTTTGTTCATTGAATTCTTGAAGAAAATTAATGAAACAGAACAGATAATGGAATTGTCTTATTGTTGGTTCCACCAAGTGCTCTGCTATCTTAGATATGATGAATTCCCCAACACTTTCGATAGCCATTTTCCACCGGTCAAGGATACCAACCTGAGAGCGAACCAATCAAACTTGTTAAAAGTTTTGCGAGATTTGAAATAAGAGTTAATTAATTACCCCTATCACCCTACACTCAGCCTCAGTATTGCTTCGGCAATAAGAGATTGCTTCTTGGATTTCCAACTAACAAGTGAACCACCCAAAAATACACAAGAGCTTGAAACGAGACCTTCTAGTATCTGGACATCCGGCCCAATCACTATTGAGAAAGCTCTCAATTGAAGATCGAGGTATTAGAGAATAAGAGTCCCTATCCATGTGCATTTTTAGATATCTAAGAATTCTATGTGCTTTTTGCAAATATTGCAAAGCTAGTTGATGCATTAATTGAGTAAGAATATGCACAAGCAAAGCAAATATCGAGCCTATCGAAGGTAAGATAGAGTAGTTTACTTCTCAATTGTCCGTATACTATTGGATCGGGCAAAATATCCCCGGGTTAGATACTAAGCGATGCTTAGGATGCATTGGTGTTGAAACGAGGCTTAGAATCAAGGAATCCACACTCTACTAGCAACTCTAGAATGTATTTTCGTTGACAAATAGCAATGCCAATCTTAGACCAAGCCATTTCAATGCCTAGAAAATATTTAAGTGCAACTTGTAAACCCATTTTAGACCATCCACACTCTCCCCCTTTGGCTTATAACCAAGAGGAGGATCCATATACACTCGTCTCATCAAGATCCCTATGTAAAAATGCATTATCAATATCAAGTTGAGAAAGAAACCAACCTTTAATTGCTGCTAATGCCGTAAATAACCTCACTATAGTGTGCTTAGCAACTGGACTAAAGGTTTGTTGATAATCGAATCCCTTAACTTGATTGTAACCTTTAGCAATAAGCCTTACCTTATACCTCTCGATACTACCATCGGCATGGAGCTTGACTTTGTAAACCCATTTACATCCCACTATGTGAGATCCTGCAGTAATGGTAACGGACCAAGTATTAGTCTTTTTTAGAACTTGCAACTTAGCCTATATAGCCTCTTTTTAATGCTCATATTTAACAACTTGAGAGTATGACGTTGGTTCGGATATGTTAGATGATGAAATGGTAAAGACAAGCATGAAAGGGAGAAAGTTATGAAAGAGACACAAAATCATGAATGGGATATGGAGTGGAACAAATTGTAATACTATAAGGAGTCGAGGAATGAGGTTGTAAGGAATGTTGGTAGATGCTTAGATAGGATGGAATTTTATAGATCTAGTAGATTTTCTTAAAGGAGGACAAGTAGAATTCAAAATAGGACTAGTATCGGGATAATCAATGATGGAATCGGTAGGAGGATTTTGAGCAATGAATATGTCATTAGATAAGGAATGACTTTGATCAAGGATCACATCATCGGATGAAAAAAATGTCATAATATGTATCAATCTATGATTCTTGGATATTAGATGAAATATTAGGAGGAAAAACAGAATATGAAGGTTGAATTTTAGTGAAGTCAAACAAATTAGGTGTAACAGAATGTTGACATATGTGTGATGAGGAAGAAATGTTAGAGGAACTAATCGATGAGTAAGGAAAGATAGTTTCATGGAAGACAACATTCCTAGAAATAAGGACTTTATGAGAAACAATATCATATACTTTATAACCCTTAATAGCAAGAGGATAGCCAAGGAAAACACAAGGTGAGGCATTTGGTTGAAACTTTTTCCTATTTTACATAAGTTTTGAAACAAAACATAGAGACCCAAACACTCTTAGATGATCATATACTTGGAGGAGATTAAAATAACAATTCATATGGAGTATGATTATCCAATAAAGAAAAAAGAGCTCTATTGATCAAATAAGCAACAATAAGGTCTCGCATCCCCTTGAATTTTATAAGTAAAAAGCTTGAAAGAGAAGGGATCTAGCTACATTTAGTAGATATTGGTGTTTTCTCTCAACCACGCCATTTTGTTAAGGGCATAAGATAGTTGATGTATAATTCCTTTTAAGTGGTAAAAATTTGGAAGATGGAATTCACCATCATTGTCGGATCTGATTTGTTTGATTAGTAACCAAAATTAGGTAAGAATCATTTGATAAAAGGATGGGATAATGGCCATAATATCTTATTTATGTCTAAATAGAAAAATCTAGGTAACTCTAGTATAGTCATCTACCACAATTAGAAAATAATGGAAACCACCTAGAGAAGTAGTAGAATAGGGCCCTAGATACACATATGTACTAACTCGAAAGGGATAGAAGTGATTTTATTATGAATAGGAAATGACAAACGTTTTTGTTTTGCTAAAAAGCAAACAAAACAATGCCGATTATTACATTGAACACTTGGATTCGTATGGCTAATTAACTGGATTCTATCAATTGACATGTAACCTAAATGACAATGCCATAAATCATATACTCGATGGATTCATAATCTTATCACTAATAGTTTGAACATGAAATGAATTTTTTACGGGTAAAGGAATACAACTAGAAGTAGACATGAATAAAAATAATCCTGCTTAAAGACTAGCAATTCCAATCATTGTCTCTAAAAAGTTATCCTGTTTAATTAAGCAAGAATTACCAGGTAAAGATCAATTTATATTAAGAATTAACGAGTGAGTTTACTAATTGAGATGAGGTTAAATTTGAATGAAGGAACACAAAGGACATCATGTAAGACAAAAAAGAAGACAAAGCAACTTGACCACCGTGAGTCACCATTGCTTTATGCCCATTTGGCAATTGAACTCGTCATATTCTTAACAAAATGATATGAATGAAAATACTAAATGGAACGAGGTTATATGATTAGTTGCACTTGTATCAATTATCTAGGTGCAAGAGTGAAATGGAATAACGAGTTTTGGAATGAGTAGACATGATAGAAACAAGTACTTGTAAGACTAGAGATATGTTATGTATGGTTGATAGTAGAAGATTTAATGTGGTTTGAAGGTTGAGATGATGAGGCTTGTAAATCCTAAGCATTTAAAAGATTCATAAGTCTCGGTGACTTGCACTTGAGTAAAAATAACATTTGCTAGTGTGACACGCCTAGCTGGAGTAACATTATGAGCATACTCATCCTCAATCGATCCTTCTTGTTCTAGTGCAACACCTGTTGAAATGCTTGGAAGAATTACCAAAGACTTAGCTAGAACTATTTGGAGCATGTCTAGAAACACTTCCAGTATTGAAGTTCTTGTTCCTTTTGAACTTGAAATCCAAAGAAAAACCTATCAATCGATAGCATTTGTCCTTGTTATGACATGTTTTCCCACAATATGAGCGAGAAAACATCCGATCTTCTTTTACCGCTAGAGAATGCGGTTATAGTTGAAGAATCACTCGAAAGATGAATGTTGCACCCGGATTGATCTTTGAGACTCTTCCCTCATAGCCAAATTATACACCTCATCCAAACTAGGAAAAGGCTTCATTACCAAAACTTGAGATTTCTAGGAGGAAAAGGATTCGTCCAATCCATTGAGGAACTTGAACATGTAATCCTTCTCATAAATCTTTACAAACTTATCAAGGCAATCTGCATTTACACACTCCATAGCTACTCGTGATCTAATGGTATGAAATTCCTTAATTCCTCCTAATTCCACTTAGCTCTATGAAATATGGATTAACCGATCTAGATCCTTGTGTAATTGAGCATAAGGACCACTATGAGTTGCAAATTCTTGATTCATTTAGTTAGGAGAAACATTACTTCAAAATCTCCTAAATCCTCATAGCAGAAGTTCATGTATAAGACTCATTGCAGCTATCGAAGACGACATTGATCTCAATAGCCAAGCTACTATGACATTATTGCAACGATTCCAAGAGTTGATGAGTACATAATTATCTTCAAGTTTTGGAATATATCCATCAACAAATCCTAATTTATTACGGATGGAGAGAGCTAAAGTGAATGATCTACTCCAAGTAGAATAATTCTCCGTGATAAGTTCTAGAGTGACTACAAGAGAATCGTGATGATTTGAGTGATGGATGAAGTATAGAGAGGAAGCTTCATCGGATAATGAGACCGACTCCATTGCCATAAAGAAAATGTTGAATCTTTGGTGATGATGAACAATTGAAGCGAGATGAAGCACGAATTGAAATGGTGAGGATGAGGATGCTTAATCCGAATGAATGATGGAAGATGATTGAATCACAAACCCTAGATTTGACTTAGCTTTGATACCATGTTGAAGTTTTGATTGAGCTGAAGAAAAAATGAAAGAATGATACAAAGAAGAGTAAACCGAGAGGAAATGAGGGAAGGAAAACAATTAAAATGCCTCAAATTTTCATTAACTAAAAATGCCTTATACGAGTTATATTTATACCCAAAGTAACAACCCAAAATAACAACTTTACTCGACCTCCTAACGAACCCTAACTAACTAACTAACCAACTTAACAAACACTAACCACATAATTACATCCATAGACCTTTAGATTCTAGTACACTTTACATTATGTGTTTTGAAAACCTTATCTTTTCAACTTCTATCTTTCTTATGATTGCACTTCCCACCTTTTATTAAAAAAAATTTCGAGTTGATTTTTAAAACTTGAGTTGAAATCACCAAATAACTCCCGAAAAGATAGTGAATGTCTAGAATAAAGAAGCAAAATGTTTATTTAGTATTTAAAAAATATAATTCAAAAAATCATTCATTTAACTCTAATCGCATTTCATTTGTATATTAGTTAATTGCCTCTATCTTTATTTATTTATTGAACTTTAATTAATTTTCATAACTTTTTATCATGAATATGTTTCAAGTTGATTGATAATTAACGAATTTTTTTCATAAAAATTCACAAAAAAACATGTTACATCCATTCTTTTTTTTTTTTTTTTGATTGATAAATAATGATATGAAAAATACAACTTTAGCATAATGATGATGATGTGTTGTGGTGATAAGGTAGTGATGATGGTGATAGTTGTGGTTGCTTGTTATAGTAGTAGTAGTAGTGATGTAAGTGAGG